GAATGGGGAAACGAGTTTGAGCCTACATGAAGTAAATGGCAAGCAAGGTGATGTCCGATGCCCCTTAACCAAAAGGAGACGATATCTTGGAACTGGCATTTGTTCCTCAAGGCAAGATTGCTAGTTGGTCCAACCATTTGATCGGGGTCACGTCTCCCCAAACGGCAGTAGAGCCCAAATAGTGTTGCCGCATCGCCAAGATATGTCATTGTGCTTGTTGAGCTTTTGTGCCTTCCGTCGCTGAGAATGGAATCATTTCTCGGTGACCCTTTAAGCATTCTTGAATCGTTGTATATTGCGGCGATATCTTTGATTGGAATTCCTTCATCATGAATGTTCATTTTGCCATGCTTCATCATTCCCAACTTGATGCCCCAGTAAGCAAGAAGGAACATGGCAGTCTTGCGAAGCATGTGGGTGCCGGCGTAGATATGATGACGACCGCAGCCAGACAAGAGGTCCATTTTGAGAACGTCGTGGACAAGATAATCTAGAGTTTCAAGAAAATCAGAGAATGGATATGGCTCGGTTGCATTTCCTTCAAACATCTGCTCTTTCACGGGGAAAATGTAGCCTTGGGTTCTTTTGGACGCTGCAACGAACAGTAGCAAGGGTCGAACAGGGGAGAATTCAGGGTAGCCAGGACCATCGTAGACTTAGAAGTGCTTGTCTTCATTGTCGGTTTTCCCACAAATCTTCATGCAAAGCGAGACCACCTTTTTCCCCTTGACTACAATTGGTATGCTAGTCCTGTAGTTGACCACTGGCTCACCTTTACGTTGTACGCAATACCTCAGGAAGGTTATGGCAAGAAAATCGGACACCGGTGGGGGGTTTCCAGGACAATTGGTTTGGCGTGGCAATATTGTAGACTCGTAGCCTTCCATGTATATTCAAAAGTCCGTGAAATTCCTCAAAGTACTAGTATTGTACCGTGCAACAGATACTTGTTTGGCTCTGACTGTGCCTAGTTCGTCGCTATTTGAGCCAAGAATGACTGCAGGCAGGTGTGTGGAGTCCTCCGACCCATAACGTTTCAAATTCAGCTGTTTGATCTTGGCGTCAATATTCTGGAACCCTATGCGTCTCTCTGCTTTGGTTATCAAGGGGACCCTCTTGTTTCGTTTAGGCTCAGTGGCCCTCTCGGAGGGATTCCCCTCGGCAGCAGATTTTGCGCGCCGCTTACTCTTGTTCCTCTTTGACATCCCAAAGTTGTGGGTCTGGGAGGCTGTGGGGTTGGGTTCACGGTGCACAAAGAGCATTGGTTGGGAATTGTGCACGCTGCGCTCCTGCGCTAGGTACAAAGTACTGGTACACATGTTCCTGAACGTTCTTTTTCTTACCTACTCAAATAGAATGAATCATCTAACATTGACAAAAGCTCGAGAACAAATCATTGGATTTCTTTCATCATACTGACAACGGTCGAACGACCTCCACAACAGCATTGCTCCGCAACACCAAGTCCGATCAATTTATCAAACTTGTGTGCGAGTATACATCAAGAAATACGTCTATTTTGTCACACCACAACCCACCAGAGTCCCACCAAGAAAGAATCCCTCACGGAAGAAACCAGGCGGTAGGCGCCAGTTGGCTATCTTTGATAGTCAAGCATATTTGTCGCCAGAGGTTGATTTTTGGGTGGATGCATCATATGGATGAAATATTGGGATAGATAAAACGTTCTGAAGCAAAAGGGTAGCTACTGAATGCACATGCTAGTTGGACTAATCATTCAGAGACTACAGATGAGTGGTTTCTTTCTTTCTAACGAGGTGTGAAAGAAGCAAACCAATCTTGTGACTCTGCCATATTAGAGATACTGTCAAGACTACTCATATCATCAGCATCATCGCCATCAGGCAACTCATGGTCTTTATCATTTGTCACTTGAGCTGTTGCGTTTTCTGCGACAAAAGGTTCAATGTATGCAACAAAAGGTGTCCATTTTCTCATTCTCCTTGTTTTTTGGGAAGTCAATATTGTCGTTGCAACAAACAATTATATCCCAAGGGCTTGGTAAACGAATTCCCTCAAGGTACTTCACATGTGCCTTAGAAGCTTGCATTAGCAAATAACTCATTGATGCTGAAATGAGGAACTGTGAAAGCGCATCTACAACCTTCCTTGAACAATCAAAGGCATGATGAAGCAGACCACCAACTGCTCTCTATAGAATTGTGGATTTTGACTGGCGTCTTTTCTATTGGAATTGGTCTGTTCTATGATGCTGTGTGCTGCAAAGCATGCAAGTAGATTTGATGCCTGGCACTTGGAGCTTCATTTTTAGACCGAACAGTTTCATCAAGCGGCTTGCTGTTTGCAAAATTCTATTGTGCAGGAATCGAAAGCCAGTGTATTTCAATTTCTCAATAGCATATTTGACCAAAGTCTTCAAATCATCTTTGCTGCTGTCGGGCGTTTCATCAGCTCCTCTCTCCTCCCCATAGAAAGTTTTTCCTATGCATTATTTCCGTTTTCATCAATTATTGCAGTACAATTTGGCCGGAGCTTCCATTCTTGGCAAATGGGCAAGCTTAAAATCCTTTTGCCGCCAGAATTTCATCATGCTTCGTGAAGAAGTCTCAAGATGGATCTTTATCCTTGCTTGGATTCAAAGACACATCCCGTCTAACGGGATCCCGATGACTGATAGTCTTGGTTGAATTGGTTACTCTGGGAGCAACAATATGGCTCAAAATTGATACCTTACATGCTGGACAAGAAATCCATTCTGTTGGAGGAACTGTCGCAAGGCGTTCCAACAAACATTGAAAACAAGAGTACTGATCACATTAGTTTCCACTTGTAGCTTTTAGAATTCCTTATTCTTTGATTGGTGGACCCCATTTGTTGCAGTAGGAGCACAGCATGAGGTTCTGTTATTTGGAAAACCTTGTATGCTTGGAGGCAAAAGAGGATGGATCAACTGGTTTGTTCTGAATCAAAATTGTTGCAGGATGAACTGCGAGTTTGTTGGATTGTTTATTATTGCTCAAATTAAATGTGATTCATTCAAGCTAGAGGAAGCACTGGATCCTCTTCAACTCAAAGTGCTGGATATTTGTACAAAGACACTTGGTGTACAGTAAAATATGCCTACAATAAGCTGGCACAAACCTACAGTAGTCTTTCCGGCTGGTCCTTTGCTTATCTTGTGGTGGTCTCTGCAACCAAGGAGGGCACCAATACGGGCAGTGTCTGGAACTATTGGCTGGGCAGGGGGATGTTAACACTGGATCTGGTTGCTCTGATCAAAAGGTGGAAAGCGGAAGGGTGTGAGATTATCCTTGGTCTTGATGCAAATGAGGATGTGTCCTACAATTCTCCCTCCTCCTTCTGCCAACAGATGAGGTCTGAAGGTCTAATTGAGGACATCCTACGCCGACATCAGGGCCCTTACCCCGCGACTACCCAAAGTTGGATGACTGATACTGGGATTGATGGTATTTTTGTGACCGACAGAGTTCTTGTCATGGCAGGTGGATATCTAGACTTTCAATACTTCTTTATGTTGGACCACATGGGACTCTGGATTGACATTGACTTGGAAGCTACTCTAGGGGCCCCACCAGCAGACTCCCTTTCCTTCCAACCACGTTGCCTGACGTTTGGTGGATTGCTATGTCAAAGAAGCGGCTGAAGCGGGTAATCATCACTTCCGTCTTCCCCAACATTTGACCCAACTAGCGGAGGACATTTTGGTCCAGGATGGCTACCTGACAGCAAATCAGCAAGTCCGATTCAACACAATCCATTATCAGGCCTATTATGAGATACGCTGACGGGCTGAGTGCAACTGTCAAAAACTCTCCATGGGCAAGGTTCACTAGTCACCACATATGCAGCAGAAATGGAATAGGCTGCACCTCTATCAGCTTCTGATCTTGGGACATGAGTAAGTCCGGATCAGTTCTTGCAAGGTCCAGTGTCTGCTGAAGAAAGCAGCAGGGCTGAGTGTCGCATGTCAATTGTTGGAGTCCGACCTACACAAAAAGTGGTACCTTGAACATCAAGCTTACAAGGAAGCCAAGCGGAAGCAGGCACTCCAGTGGCGTCTGGAGTACCTGGAAACCCAATTGGCAGCGGTCCAGAAAGCAAAGAAGGGCAACATCAAAGCTTGCATCAGACGGACTTGAGTCCAACAAATGGCACAAAAGGAGGAGACCCAACAGCGACAGAAAGCTCAAGGCAAAGCAACCTTCAGCAGATTAACCAATTGGGCATCGGGGGGGGGGGGGGTAGCCCGTACGGGGTTATCCCCAATTTTACGCATACAAAATAAATGTACCACAAACTCGTAGACGTAAATGTTCAACATGACCAAGTTTTTTGTCCTGATCGAGCAAAAGTGCCTAGTTCTAGCCATAAATTTCCTTCACCACCAGACTGAAGCTACAAATTAGATCTGAACTATCCAATTCACCATAAGGAATAACGATCTTTGATTGGAGCTTTCGTTGGACCAATTTTGGACTTTGCAAAAGTGACAGCGCTCCAGAAAATAAATCAATCTCAAGCATGACCGGGCTCTTGTTGACACCCATTGGAAACAAGACAATTTGGCTCCTGTGATACTGATAAGTTTTGTTGTGTTCCCTTTCCTAGACTTCATACTGGGGAATGAAACACCGCAGCTCGTTTCATTTTGGAGCAGAGTGAAATGCACTGATTTCATTACAATTTGCATTTGACACAAACGATTCATAATGTGTGCGGTAGATGCAGATTCAAGCACAGAGCACGCTTCCTCGGCTCATCATGTATACTTAATCTATTAGGACAGTGGGTTGGAAGGATGATATAAGATGGGACTACTCCCAAATGCTCCCTCTTGTGGATGAGCAGATTCAAAATGTGATCAATCAGATGTTGCTTCATCTGCAGGAGGTTTGATGCACTTTTACCATCCAATGTATTGGGATAAGGAATAGGGATATCTAAATAGTAGAAACATTCATCATGCAGCAACGGCTGGGCCATGGGTCCGAGTCTAGGAGGCCATGGAGTCGAATTTTGCAGAGCAGATGCTTCATATTATAATGGTCGACTTCAGCAATTTGATTATTGCATAAGGAGCCAACATAACCTCCATATAACCTATTGCAACCCGGATGCGCCCATTTCACTTTCCAGCAAGTGTATGGTCCGCATCTGAAGTCATAATGTATACTGGCTTGTGCTCAGCTTTGGTGACTTGGACGTCGAATCCAATGCAACCAGATGCTACAATCAAAGTTCCACCCCATCTCAGTCTTTTTATAGGTATTTACCCCTCTCGAAATCGGATTTTGGCTAGTGTTTGATCATTTGCAAATGCTTGATGTGTATTTGGCCAAATTTGTATTAGCAACAACATACTCATAGGTAGTCCTTTGCTTTCTATCGCCGAGTCTCTTCCAAGTATATCATCATCAAAAGTTACTAGTATATTCTAGGAGAAATGGGTACCTCATAGCACTTGCATGCCTCCTCCAATTATGGAAAGCCAAATGATTGCTCACTGTATTCAACAACCTAGACAGATTCTTGTTGAAGGACCCCACCACCCTTGCACACCCCAATCAGGGCCAATCCCGCTACAAGAACAGCAGAAGCCACACCCCTAGCCTCAAACTGTCCTTCAAATACGAGAGTGGTCTCGGATTGGTTTATGGCCTCCTCAACAATATTCAATCCAATCGATGGCCTGCAGAAATCAAATTCTAACTTGACAAGGGTGCCACCAGACGATTGCAACCATTTGATGTTTGTCAGCTTATTGCTTGGAAATTTATCCCCAATTTTACGCATACAAAATAAATGTACCACAAACTCGTAGACGTAAATGTTCAACATGACCAAGTTTTTTGTCCTGATCGAGCAAAAGTGCCTAGTTCTAGCCATAAATTTCCTTCACCACCAGACTGAAGCTACAAATTAGATCTGAACTATCCAATTCACCATAAGGAATAACGATCTTTGATTGGAGCTTTCGTTGGACCAATTTTGGACTTTGCAAAAGTGACAGCGCTCCAGAAAATAAATCAATCTCAAGCATGACCGGGCTCTTGTTGACACCCATTGGAAACAAGACAATTTGGCTCCTGTGATACTGATAAGTTTTGTTGTGTTCCCTTTCCTAGACTTCATACTGGGGAATGAAACACCGCAGCTCGTTTCATTTTGGAGCAGAGTGAAATGCACTGATTTCATTACAATTTGCATTTGACACAAACGATTCATAATGTGTGCGGTAGATGCAGATTCAAGCACAGAGCACGCTTCCTCGGCTCATCATGTATACTTAATCTATTAGGACAGTGGGTTGGAAGGATGATATAAGATGGGACTACTCCCAAATGCTCCCTCTTGTGGATGAGCAGATTCAAAATGTGATCAATCAGATGTTGCTTCATCTGCAGGAGGTTTGATGCACTTTTACCATCCAATGTATTGGGATAAGGAATAGGGATATCTAAATAGTAGAAACATTCATCATGCAGCAACGGCTGGGCCATGGGTCCGAGTCTAGGAGGCCATGGAGTCGAATTTTGCAGAGCAGATGCTTCATATTATAATGGTCGACTTCAGCAATTTGATTATTGCATAAGGAGCCAACATAACCTCCATATAACCTATTGCAACCCGGATGCGCCCATTTCACTTTCCAGCAAGTGTATGGTCCGCATCTGAAGTCATAATGTATACTGGCTTGTGCTCAGCTTTGGTGACTTGGACGTCGAATCCAATGCAACCAGATGCTACAATCAAAGTTCCACCCCATCTCAGTCTTTTTATAGGTATTTACCCCTCTCGAAATCGGATTTTGGCTAGTGTTTGATCATTTGCAAATGCTTGATGTGTATTTGGCCAAATTTGTATTAGCAACAACATACTCATAGGTAGTCCTTTGCTTTCTATCGCCGAGTCTCTTCCAAGTATATCATCATCAAAAGTTACTAGTATATTCTAGGAGAAATGGGTACCTCATAGCACTTGCATGCCTCCTCCAATTATGGAAAGCCAAATGATTGCTCACTGTATTCAACAACCTAGACAGATTCTTGTTGAAGGACCCCACCACCCTTGCACACCCCAATCAGGGCCAATCCCGCTACAAGAACAGCAGAAGCCACACCCCTAGCCTCAAACTGTCCTTCAAATACGAGAGTGGTCTCGGATTGGTTTATGGCCTCCTCAACAATATTCAATCCAATCGATGGCCTGCAGAAATCAAATTCTAACTTGACAAGGGTGCCACCAGACGATTGCAACCATTTGATGTTTGTCAGCTTATTGCTTGGAAATTTATCCCCAATTTTACGCATACAAAATAAATGTACCACAAACTCGTAGACGTAAATGTTCAACATGACCAAGTTTTTTGTCCTGATCGAGCAAAAGTGCCTAGTTCTAGCCATAAATTTCCTTCACCACCAGACTGAAGCTACAAATTAGATCTGAACTATCCAATTCACCATAAGGAATAACGATCTTTGATTGGAGCTTTCGTTGGACCAATTTTGGACTTTGCAAAAGTGACAGCGCTCCAGAAAATAAATCAATCTCAAGCATGACCGGGCTCTTGTTGACACCCATTGGAAACAAGACAATTTGGCTCCTGTGATACTGATAAGTTTTGTTGTGTTCCCTTTCCTAGACTTCATACTGGGGAATGAAACACCGCAGCTCGTTTCATTTTGGAGCAGAGTGAAATGCACTGATTTCATTACAATTTGCATTTGACACAAACGATTCATAATGTGTGCGGTAGATGCAGATTCAAGCACAGAGCACGCTTCCTCGGCTCATCATGTATACTTAATCTATTAGGACAGTGGGTTGGAAGGATGATATAAGATGGGACTACTCCCAAATGCTCCCTCTTGTGGATGAGCAGATTCAAAATGTGATCAATCAGATGTTGCTTCATCTGCAGGAGGTTTGATGCACTTTTACCATCCAATGTATTGGGATAAGGAATAGGGATATCTAAATAGTAGAAACATTCATCATGCAGCAACGGCTGGGCCATGGGTCCGAGTCTAGGAGGCCATGGAGTCGAATTTTGCAGAGCAGATGCTTCATATTATAATGGTCGACTTCAGCAATTTGATTATTGCATAAGGAGCCAACATAACCTCCATATAACCTATTGCAACCCGGATGCGCCCATTTCACTTTCCAGCAAGTGTATGGTCCGCATCTGAAGTCATAATGTATACTGGCTTGTGCTCAGCTTTGGTGACTTGGACGTCGAATCCAATGCAACCAGATGCTACAATCAAAGTTCCACCCCATCTCAGTCTTTTTATAGGTATTTACCCCTCTCGAAATCGGATTTTGGCTAGTGTTTGATCATTTGCAAATGCTTGATGTGTATTTGGCCAAATTTGTATTAGCAACAACATACTCATAGGTAGTCCTTTGCTTTCTATCGCCGAGTCTCTTCCAAGTATATCATCATCAAAAGTTACTAGTATATTCTAGGAGAAATGGGTACCTCATAGCACTTGCATGCCTCCTCCAATTATGGAAAGCCAAATGATTGCTCACTGTATTCAACAACCTAGACAGATTCTTGTTGAAGGACCCCACCACCCTTGCACACCCCAATCAGGGCCAATCCCGCTACAAGAACAGCAGAAGCCACACCCCTAGCCTCAAACTGTCCTTCAAATACGAGAGTGGTCTCGGATTGGTTTATGGCCTCCTCAACAATATTCAATCCAATCGATGGCCTGCAGAAATCAAATTCTAACTTGACAAGGGTGCCACCAGACGATTGCAACCATTTGATGTTTGTCAGCTTATTGCTTGGAAATTTATCCCCAATTTTACGCATACAAAATAAATGTACCACAAACTCGTAGACGTAAATGTTCAACATGACCAAGTTTTTTGTCCTGATCGAGCAAAAGTGCCTAGTTCTAGCCATAAATTTCCTTCACCACCAGACTGAAGCTACAAATTAGATCTGAACTATCCAATTCACCATAAGGAATAACGATCTTTGATTGGAGCTTTCGTTGGACCAATTTTGGACTTTGCAAAAGTGACAGCGCTCCAGAAAATAAATCAATCTCAAGCATGACCGGGCTCTTGTTGACACCCATTGGAAACAAGACAATTTGGCTCCTGTGATACTGATAAGTTTTGTTGTGTTCCCTTTCCTAGACTTCATACTGGGGAATGAAACACCGCAGCTCGTTTCATTTTGGAGCAGAGTGAAATGCACTGATTTCATTACAATTTGCATTTGACACAAACGATTCATAATGTGTGCGGTAGATGCAGATTCAAGCACAGAGCACGCTTCCTCGGCTCATCATGTATACTTAATCTATTAGGACAGTGGGTTGGAAGGATGATATAAGATGGGACTACTCCCAAATGCTCCCTCTTGTGGATGAGCAGATTCAAAATGTGATCAATCAGATGTTGCTTCATCTGCAGGAGGTTTGATGCACTTTTACCATCCAATGTATTGGGATAAGGAATAGGGATATCTAAATAGTAGAAACATTCATCATGCAGCAACGGCTGGGCCATGGGTCCGAGTCTAGGAGGCCATGGAGTCGAATTTTGCAGAGCAGATGCTTCATATTATAATGGTCGACTTCAGCAATTTGATTATTGCATAAGGAGCCAACATAACCTCCATATAACCTATTGCAACCCGGATGCGCCCATTTCACTTTCCAGCAAGTGTATGGTCCGCATCTGAAGTCATAATGTATACTGGCTTGTGCTCAGCTTTGGTGACTTGGACGTCGAATCCAATGCAACCAGATGCTACAATCAAAGTTCCACCCCATCTCAGTCTTTTTATAGGTATTTACCCCTCTCGAAATCGGATTTTGGCTAGTGTTTGATCATTTGCAAATGCTTGATGTGTATTTGGCCAAATTTGTATTAGCAACAACATACTCATAGGTAGTCCTTTGCTTTCTATCGCCGAGTCTCTTCCAAGTATATCATCATCAAAAGTTACTAGTATATTCTAGGAGAAATGGGTACCTCATAGCACTTGCATGCCTCCTCCAATTATGGAAAGCCAAATGATTGCTCACTGTATTCAACAACCTAGACAGATTCTTGTTGAAGGACCCCACCACCCTTGCACACCCCAATCAGGGCCAATCCCGCTACAAGAACAGCAGAAGCCACACCCCTAGCCTCAAACTGTCCTTCAAATACGAGAGTGGTCTCGGATTGGTTTATGGCCTCCTCAACAATATTCAATCCAATCGATGGCCTGCAGAAATCAAATTCTAACTTGACAAGGGTGCCACCAGACGATTGCAACCATTTGATGTTTGTCAGCTTATTGCTTGGAAATTTATCCCCAATTTTACGCATACAAAATAAATGTACCACAAACTCGTAGACGTAAATGTTCAACATGACCAAGTTTTTTGTCCTGATCGAGCAAAAGTGCCTAGTTCTAGCCATAAATTTCCTTCACCACCAGACTGAAGCTACAAATTAGATCTGAACTATCCAATTCACCATAAGGAATAACGATCTTTGATTGGAGCTTTCGTTGGACCAATTTTGGACTTTGCAAAAGTGACAGCGCTCCAGAAAATAAATCAATCTCAAGCATGACCGGGCTCTTGTTGACACCCATTGGAAACAAGACAATTTGGCTCCTGTGATACTGATAAGTTTTGTTGTGTTCCCTTTCCTAGACTTCATACTGGGGAATGAAACACCGCAGCTCGTTTCATTTTGGAGCAGAGTGAAATGCACTGATTTCATTACAATTTGCATTTGACACAAACGATTCATAATGTGTGCGGTAGATGCAGATTCAAGCACAGAGCACGCTTCCTCGGCTCATCATGTATACTTAATCTATTAGGACAGTGGGTTGGAAGGATGATATAAGATGGGACTACTCCCAAATGCTCCCTCTTGTGGATGAGCAGATTCAAAATGTGATCAATCAGATGTTGCTTCATCTGCAGGAGGTTTGATGCACTTTTACCATCCAATGTATTGGGATAAGGAATAGGGATATCTAAATAGTAGAAACATTCATCATGCAGCAACGGCTGGGCCATGGGTCCGAGTCTAGGAGGCCATGGAGTCGAATTTTGCAGAGCAGATGCTTCATATTATAATGGTCGACTTCAGCAATTTGATTATTGCATAAGGAGCCAACATAACCTCCATATAACCTATTGCAACCCGGATGCGCCCATTTCACTTTCCAGCAAGTGTATGGTCCGCATCTGAAGTCATAATGTATACTGGCTTGTGCTCAGCTTTGGTGACTTGGACGTCGAATCCAATGCAACCAGATGCTACAATCAAAGTTCCACCCCATCTCAGTCTTTTTATAGGTATTTACCCCTCTCGAAATCGGATTTTGGCTAGTGTTTGATCATTTGCAAATGCTTGATGTGTATTTGGCCAAATTTGTATTAGCAACAACATACTCATAGGTAGTCCTTTGCTTTCTATCGCCGAGTCTCTTCCAAGTATATCATCATCAAAAGTTACTAGTATATTCTAGGAGAAATGGGTACCTCATAGCACTTGCATGCCTCCTCCAATTATGGAAAGCCAAATGATTGCTCACTGTATTCAACAACCTAGACAGATTCTTGTTGAAGGACCCCACCACCCTTGCACACCCCAATCAGGGCCAATCCCGCTACAAGAACAGCAGAAGCCACACCCCTAGCCTCAAACTGTCCTTCAAATACGAGAGTGGTCTCGAATTGGTTTATGGCCTCCTCAACAATATTCAATCCAATCGATGGCCTGCAGAAATCAAATTCTAACTTGACAAGGGTGCCACCAGACAATTGCAACCATTTGATGTTTGTCAGCTTATTGCTTGGAAAGCAAAACAAAGAAATTGGACCTCCACATATCAACATGGAAATTCGAGTACCGCTAACGCAGCTATGCTTGGAGACAAAAGAGGATGGATTATCTTGTTTGTTTTGAATCAAATTTGTTGCAGGACGAACTATGTGTTTGTTGGATTGTTTATTGTTGCTCAAATTAAACGTGATTCATTCAAGCTAAAGCAAGCACTGGATCTTCACCTCAAAGTGCTGGATATTCGTAAAAAGACACTTGGTGAAAAGCATCGTACAGTAAAAGATGCCTACAAATAAGCTGGGGCAAACCTACAGCAGTCTTTCCATTCTGTTGGAATCCAAACGCCAATACTACCAAGCATTGGCAACCCTAGAGCAAGAACTGGCCATTCGACAACAAATGGCTTCTGAAAATGACAATAGCACGATCTCGATTTTAAAGCTTGTATCTCAAGATTGCCAATGTCTACCAAAATATGTCGCTCGTCATGGAAAAGCAAGGAAAGCTGAATGCGAGGATTGTCTATAAACGGACTTGAGGATCTGTCGAGGACACTAGACAATAGAGTTGTAATGAAGATAGAACTGCTATTCTTATTGATGATAGTTCATGAGAGTGAGGATTGCTCTGAACTTGAGCAGAGGATCCAGCAGTAGAAACACGTAGAGAGTAGTATGTGGAGTTCGGGAGAAGAACTGAGGTGTCAAGTGATCATGAAAATGACCCAATCAGAGTAACCCACAGGTCCGATCTATTGGACTTGCGGTACGATTCGCTTGACCTCAACACTGAAGGAATCTTTGCAAGTTCTAGAAAAGTGTTTGGATATACGACGAAATTGTTTGAACGAGCAACACCGCACAGTCAAAAAGGCTACAAAACAGAAGGAAAGGTTGCAACAAAAGATTGAAGACCAATGAACACTTTCGTTGCACTCTATCAAAAAGACCCTTCCGCCCCTTATCACAATTCCAAAAAGAGCCGATCGATCACTGCGTGGCAGCCACTTCCAATACCAAAACTACAATATAAAGTGGATACTTGAACTACAGTATGTTACACCTACACTCACAAAACAAATATTGATAGGAAGAACATGCACCAGCCCTACTTGTAATAGGTGACGGGTCCTGATGCTTTACTGTCACCACCATTATACACCGTGGCAGGAGGCAGGGGAACCGCAGTGGCCATGGGAGTTGGAATGTCTCCAGCGGGTCCACTAGCATCATTGTAGGTGTTTTGGTTGTAAGTATTAGGAGTTGGAATGTCTCCAGCAGGTCCACTGATTGGTACTGACGATTGACCATACTCGGCGTTATTGTAGTTGGTATTTTGTACGTAGGCATCTTGTTGGTATTGAGTATTGGTGTTTTGCTGGTAGGTCCCTGGATTGGCCGGTGGTTCTCGTCGGGAGCACATGAACACGGCCACACAAAAAGCGAGTGATCCAATTCCAAATCCAATACCAGTCGCCGTCTTGGCTGCCACCAGACCAATATCCAAGATGGATTCTTCTACAATGCTAGTTGGATCCTCAGGATCGTAAGTAATTTGCGTGGTTTTGCCTTCGGCTGGTTTGGGACTCAAACAATAGTCAGTCTCCGAGGTAAAGGTAGTTCCTTCGAGAGTGGTGTAATTGTAGGTTATGTGATAGCTTGGCTCTTGTTGCACATTATTTGTGGTACCGCTACTGCCCGAAGAACAAACTCGTGTGGACACTACAGTAGCATCTACAACGGGCCATTCACCAATTGTGCTGTTGAGAATCATCAGGCCAGCGATTCCGGGCAACGCGCAGCAAATCAAACAGCAAGCAAGCGTGCAAATGGCACCCAAAGTGGTGGCTTTCTTTGCTGACATTCCTGCCATTTTTGAGTTTTTGTGTTGTTTCTGTTTGGAAGAGAGTAGAGAGAGAGAGAGAGAGAGAGAGTGCAGTACCGGGTACAGCTGTTGAAGAGTTAAGCGTTTCAAGAGTAACAGAGGACGTCGCTTGATGTCTTTTTCTAAATTCAGTTTCGACTGTTCGATTTTTTTGATTTTGACGCGAGTTGAAGCTTCTTTTGAATCTTGGATGTCTGCCTTTCCTCCGGCATAAGTGATCATACTGGTCGATGACTTTGTGACGTGTTTTTGTTCTTTTGGTTGTTGTTGTTGAAGAAGAGACTTTGACCAAGCTGCTGATCTCCACAAAACACAAACGTGAGAAGAAGGATGGCCTTGTTCCTTCAACAAACACTTGCCGTGTGCCTTCTACTACAAGCGCTATATATTTCATCATCTTGGGCATTCACAACCCAAACTAGCCAGCCATTTCAGTTGTTGGCTTCGTCATCGTCCACAACATCTCTGCAAACTACGGTGGCCGAAACTTCCAATAACGTAAAGTCTCAATATTTTGATTTCCAAGGGCATCAATGCTACTCCGAAGTAGCCTCGCCGACGTTTCAAGCACCACTCTTTGGCAAAAAGAAACCTGAAGTCTTGCTCCTACATGGGTTTGGTTGCTCGACTGTCTATTGGAGAGAAACCTATCGCTATTTAAATGAGGCTGGATACACTGTTCACGCGGTCGATTTGTTGGGACAAGGCAAGTCGGACAAACCGGGACGCGCCGATGGCATTGAATATTCCACCAGTTTATGGGCCCAAGTAGTGGATACCTACGCCAAAGACTACATGAAGAGTGCGGATGAAATTGTCGTCGTTGGAAACTCCTTGGGAAGTTGTGTGGCCCTGGCGGCTGCCACTGGAGATTTCCCCAATGATATCTCTTCATGCAGCTATAGTATTGCACCACGAACGATCGGCATCGGCATGTTTAATTGTGGAGTGGGAATGAATAGTCGGAACGTCATTCGAGATCCAGGCTGGAACCCATTTCAAAGAGCCTTGTTGACACTACTCTTTGATACTCTCGACTTTGTCATTTTCGGGAATCGAGCACTTATCAGTTATCTACTGAACGAAGTGGTGACAAAAGAGCTACTGCAAAATGCATTAACTGGATTGTATCGATGTGCTCCCGATCCAGAATCCCGAGTTGACGATGCCTTGGTCGAGTCATTTTACCGTCCCGCCCAGGACAGTGGCTCTGTTGAGGCCTTGAACCAAATCTATACCAACGATCCTGGAAAAACACCAATGGAATTTCATGAAGATAATCCCCAATTGAGTAAACTCCCCATCAAACTGATATGGGGAGACTCGGACGCAGTGACTCCCATTGCAGGGTCTGTGGGACAGTTCTACACGTCATTGGCAAATGACGAGAACAGTAAGGTGTCATTGCAAATGGTGAATGCGGGACACATTCCATTTGATGAAATCCCAGAATGCAACAAATTCTTTGTACAATGGCTTGATCAACTGTCAGAAAACAAGGGTGGTTCCAAAAAAGAGCCCAAACCTTTTTTTGCATGGCCGTTTTGTCAATAGACATCGTGATTCTGCTCATTGCAATGCGATTATGCTTTTTGCTTCGATATCAAATGATAGAAAATAAGGCTACAGTACAATAAATAAAGTGCTTCACCATATCTACCATTTGAATTTTGTACATAGCTAAGTTTGTCCAACCACAATTTGTGCCCAGTGTTGGCACTTACCCCCATGCATCGAGGAACTCGTCCTTAGCACCTGCTGCACCCTCGTCTACAGACTGACTGCTCTTCTCATAGATCATGGCTACAACTGTTGTGAACCCGTGAAGGTGGCTTGGCTTTTCTTCCCGAGAAGCAGAGCCAAGAGAAATACCGACTGAGCCGATTTCTCCGTTTGCAAAGAAACCAGCAACAACCGGATTGTCGCCTGGTAGCATCTCCATTACATTTGTTATATCCATATTTGGGACGCCAAAGAATCCTCGGCCACGTGCTACACATGATATTTGCAATGCTGCCATGGGCCGGCAGTTTCCATTGACCATTCGAGCCGTCTTAGCTCGCTCTACCATCCATTTCAAGTCCTGTTCCGCAGTTCCTGCATCGCGAACCTGGAAGCAGAACTTGTCACCTTCCTTGAGACTAGGCGTAGCAATAATAATACCTCCAATCCCTGGTACAAATCCTGCTATTTGCCGACTCAGATAGTCGCCCTCGCCATCAGAGGAAGCAATTCCACAAAGCAAACCACTTTGAATCAATTCATGGTCCTCTGGCTTGGCGTTCTTGGTCTCTTCTTGTAACACTTGCAGGGCAGGTTTGCCATCTAGTTCGGTAATTATTTGTCCTTTCTCTACTTTGGTGATTGTCAAAGCCTTCCTTCCAATCGGTCGGCAACCTTGTGCCACGACAGTTTGCAAGCCAACCGTTCCGGAAAACTTGACTGCAATGCTTGAGCCTGGTAACAAGACTTGATCCATGTAGGCAATGGTTCCTTCATCTTGTGATACAGGACACGATATTCCACCAGCCAGTACAGATGACGATGCATCGAATTTGTTTAGTACAGGTTCAATGTTTGCCCAAGGGTCTACAAACAACAAATAGTCTCCATCCTCGGTCGTGTCCACATTGTTGGGATTCACCACTTCTACTTTACCGCCTTTTGGTAATTTCCCAGTCATGAGCGAAAGCGATGCTTGGTTGGGGACATCTAATTCTCGTTGCTCCCCGATGACACCGGCACCAATCAAAGATATCAGCTGGGTATCAGTCCCAAAGTGATGGGCCGCCAACTTGACCAAGCCATCAAACTCATCTGCATGCGCCTGGTCCACAAATAGAAACGCCACATCTTGAGATTCTGGATCCGAGACCTCTTCCAAAACTTTTCGCAACGCCGGGGTACCTTCAGGATGTGTGGATATGTGAGACTGCCACTCCGATTCACTATTCTTGGCTAGCAAAGAAGCAGGATATACCGACCGTATTCTTTTCCTTGATGATGAAAATGTATTAATCCAAGAGAAAACAGAGGCTTCTGAAACTGCTAGAAGCAGAAACAGCAACAATCTTTCATTCATATTCATTTTGCCGCTTTTACTTTGATGCTGATGTTGTCCTTGTACATGGTACGTCGTACCAGGGTACCAGTATGATGAATGATGATGATGTTGGTGATGAGATATACTGATGAGTCATTCAAGGTACTCTGGTAGTCTCAATCAATGAGTACCAGTGAGTGAGAGATGGAGGGCGGGCCGCAAAATCAATATGTAAGAGTTATACGAGCCAGTATGTGAACTACTGGTACACGTAGTAGTGACACGCGACGTCTGTATGTACACGCGTACGTAGACCTTGCAGCCCTGCGACCAGAAACTTGCAACTTTAGAATAGTCAAGATCGACAAGGCTCATTTCATTCATTCCAAAGCAACAACGCAACAACTGCATATCATCATCAACATGGCCACTGAAACTGCCACTGCCCCTCCTCCACCGGCCCCTCCAGCTCCACCAGCTGATGCTGCTCCTGGTACTCCTAAAACAGCCACCCCACGCCGCCGTCCGCGAAAGGCTTCCAGCCCACTGCGCACACAATCTTCCAAGTCTCACTTGTACTCACCGGAAGGCAGCAAGAGAAAGATCGTCATCCCACCACTCCCATCTACCGGCGAATAAATCATTGACTGATCCTAAATTGAGAGCACTGCTGTTGCACGAAAGCAACATGTGGATTGATTGACAATCCTTTCATCCGATTTCTCCTTTACGCGACTGCAGTAGATGTTAAAAGTCAAATAGCTTTAAAGCCGACTGAATAAAATCTACACAATCACATTCATGCTCTGTAATTATTAACATCTGCATTCCCTGTGATGAGACGATTGTTGAATCATACTCTACTGTCGAAAGTCGGTTTCAAGTTGGAAGCTTCGAGCAAGGGTTAGAGCAGATCGTTGCAAAACCAGAGATTTCGATTGTTGCTGGTATGATATATGTGTTAACCGGTATCGGTCTTCCTACATTTAACGAAATCTCTTTCCTATTACGAAGAAAAGAATAATGAGGCAAATTTTGGTATTTAATGCAGGGCATTTTGACACCGAAATACGAGCCCGCTCGTTTGAGCGTCCAATCAATGTTCATATGTTTTAACAACTCCCTTCTCCCAAAATCATTCCTGGAACGGCCGTGAAATAGAAATTTAGCATACAGTACTCGTACACTTCTTGGGAGTAAATGTTGATTTTCCCGGCCGTCCCCAGTAGTGAGCAACAGTTATTATACTGGTACTTCCGTAACATCTGGAGTAATGCATGGGATGCCAGAGATTTGTTGTAGTAACGAAAGGCTACTTTGGAGGATGCTACCAGGTACAGTTACGATGCTTGCATTGCTGGTGAGCCTACCTGGTACACGTGTATAGTACCTGGTACCCCTGGTACTTGTAGGTTCGCTTGGCCTTGCACACTTCATTCGGGTCTATCTTAGCCCCAAATAATCCCATTGTCATCAAACTATTCCACCGTGCCGAGAGTATGTGTGAATGCACGGGCAAACAAACTAGGGACAAACTAGGGACAAGGTGACAAAAGGTTCTTGAGCGGCAAAGCTCACAATATTATTTCGTGGCAGAACCAACTGAAAAAACAAAAAGCTTCTGAGCAAACTCACCAATTTTTAAACATGCTCATTCCTCCTCCTCCTCCTCCAGCTTCTATCATGCAAAGTCCTGTAGCTGCTCCCACTACTCCATCTTCCCGAAAAAGCCATAGAGATGACCAGTCTTGCCATTTTAGGACAGGATTATTGAATAATCGAAATAGATGAATAAGACCAAACACATAAAAATAGCTATGGGTTCAAGCATTTACCGCAACTTTCTATTCTGCTTGTACCAGAAATCTTAGGTTGAGCCAGCGCAGCTCGAAGTCGATCGCTTTCCATAATGAAGGCTCATCAGTCTTGACATTCCACCAACACCAATTTTCTTCACGCATTTTGATCCAGCTAGGTAGCGAGTACCACGTTCGTTACCTGCCATGCTCCCTTTCCTTTGAAAGCAGGAATCAAACTTGTTGATGAAGTTTCTAGTGCATGTTGGCAGACAATCTTGCCGTTGAATTCCCATGTGAAAACACTCGCCGACCTAACGCAAAGAATGACACCTCCATTCTCCATTTTGAAAGGAGTTTTAGCGCTCACAGTCGCACCTCCCTTCATGTGTAGTTTTGCATTGAGACAGTCTAGAATAACAAACTCGTCCCCTGCCCAACCAACTCGAAAGTCTTCAATCTTTCCAACTTTGATCTCAAATGATGTGATGTTCCGACTGTGACCTTCCGTTTGAATAACAAAAGTCGATAGTTTCATTGCCGCAACGAAATTGTATGGATATTGTTCAATCTTCGAGTCAACTTTGTTTCCTTTGTGGATTTTTATCCTCGTTGGGTAAATGACTGGAGTTAACCCATAGTACTCTACCAACGACAAAAACTGAAGATACTGTCGGTGATTTGCGAAATCTTCCTTCATTGGGGATTCCAAAGGTGGCGCATTCGATGTCCAGGTGTCCCGTGATCTCAATTGATCTAGTACAACTGTGAACAGAGCAAACGACTGGTTTACAAAGAAGTTTCCGTCCCCATCTTTTATCAGTTTGCAGTCGTATTTTCCTGAAAACTGAGTTGCAAGCAAGGAGTGCCCATGACTGCACAAGGTTCGTCGCAGCACTTGCATGATTGTGCCGCTAATGTTGAGCGTCAAGACATCGTTGGCGTTGTTGTTTTCTTCTACCTCAGCTTCAGCCGTTGTCGCTGCTGCTTCGTCGTCTCTTGGTTCCGAGGTCATCGTCTCCGTTTTGTCGAACTGCTGAGCGTGATGCGTTTTTTGGTTATAAATAATGGGGTCGTTTTAGTCGAAGAATCCACCGTTTCAAACGTGATACCGTGTACCTACACACAGGCAAAATTATGCCTCACGTTTCAAAACCGTGAATTCGATTTTTGCTCACAAATCAATACTCAGCAATATAAGCACATCGTTTTCCAGATCATAATATGCCATGGTAGAGAGTAACATCGGTATTCATCTCGTAGCACCACCACATCTCCGCATGGGTGGTGCTACTCATCCAGCAACAAGAGTTGCTAGTCGTGGGGTGCAAGACATGCGGTTGGAGCATGCATTCCAACTCTTCAAATCCTCCCCAAAACCAAAAAAATGCAGGCGATCGACGAGCTTGGTGCGTGACCATAGACAAGATGGAAAGCGTAGAGCAAACTCGGCACTGCGAGCCCCCGCATCAAGGCGACCGATTCAAATGAAACATGGTTGGATTGGACGATTAGTTGACGACAGAGGTGACCATCAAATCACTGGGGTGGGAAGTTTGTGCACACGAAAAGTCGTGATTTGCTTCCCAACTGAGGAGCGTTCCTCCTCAAAGGTCGGATCTCTAAAGGACCGTACCACAGATCAGCACAACCAAATTGAATGGAGATCGTTGACTCGCGCAATCTCGCCTTTACTGTAAAGTAGGGGAATTATGTCACTCGAGTTCCAAAACATAATAAAACAACAAACAATACCAATACGGAAAGCACAAGAGATAGGAAGAATATGAGTAAGGAAGAGAAAGAAGCCGCGAAGGAGGAGAAGAGGGAGCGGAAACGCGAACATAATCGAAGAAAGCGTCTCGCTTATCGCTTGCGGCGAAGGATGAAGAAGGCAAGTCCCAAACCATCTAAAGCCAAAAGAGAGGACTGGAAAAAAGAGCAAAAAGAGAGCAACAAGGAGTATCAAAAGAAAAAGAAGCGAAAGCAAAAATGGAAGCAGAGAAAACAACAGAAATCAAGATGTGAAGCAAAACGTGAAACAAAACCTGCACTTAGTGAAAAGGAATGGACCAAGCTTGTGGAGGAAGCAAGCGACCGGTCTGATTTCGAATCGTTGCTTCATGTTTTCTCACAGCATCTTTATGATCACACAAAGGCATCTGGCGGGAATCAATTGAAATGTCTTCTCAAACGATTCCGAGAGCTATCGACACGGTATCATCCAGACAAAAACTGCGGTCTCGCTCGCTACGGCCTGATTTTTCAGGCATTGAATGAAGCTAGGGACGTTGTAGTGGATCAAATTGTCTGAACAGCAGTTTTGTACAGTAGGCTCTTCTGGACACTACAAGAAACTTTTTATTATCTTGATTTCTCTCTTGTTGCTCCATTTGATGTTTTGCTAGCGATGATTTATGCTTTTGTTTGTCATCCTTCTTCGAAAAATATCAACATTCTCGATACCGATGACAAACAACGATCTCAGCCGCGCAATGGGGTAGTTTCATTCGATTGTAGTTGGAATCAATCATTCAATTTCTATCGTCTATCATTTTCCGCTACGGATGTGCAATCAGTTGGTTTCATTGGTATTTTTCTCAACTTGTCTTGGTTAACTTTTCAATTCGAGTTTTCTAAGAGTTGCGGTTTCCAGGTGTTCTAACGATCTATGTTTGGCATAATCCATTTTGCTAAAGCCAGATTGCAAAATTTGAAGTACATCCCCGTGTGCCACACAAATTATCATATGCCCAGTGTATTTCTGGTCCCATTCCAAAATCATTTCTGTTGTTCGACTCACAACGGATTGGACTGATTCCACTCCATTGATGGTGTGAGAAGGATCAACTGCATCATCAATCCAAACATCATTGTAATGATGGTCGCTTCCAAGGTCCCATTTTCCAAAGTATCGTTCTCTTAGCCTTGTTTCGACAACGACACCATCATGTTCAATTTCGGCAGCAACCGATGCACATTCCGCAGTCTCCATGGCGCGTAAAAAGTCCGATGACAGAATCAAAAGACCTTCAAATCCTTTGGAAGAATATTCCTTGACAATATCTTGTCCTGCATTTGTGGCCTGTTCCTTGCCCAAATCAGACAAGCCATACTCAACAGTAGCAATCTTTGGGTCGGAAGCGATGACCCCTGCAACATTCGCTTTGGATTGACCGTGTCTTAAAGCATAATACGAATTTTGTAGACCGCTACAAGTTTCCAGTTGATTGAAGGACGATGATTGGAATGTTGCCGATGTATTCTTCCTCCATTGCATTCCCAGAGCAGGATTATGCTTTCCCGTTTGCAGAAAGACTGTTCTTTGAAAGCCAGCTAACAGTGGGAGAAAACGGTGAGGCTGAAGCATGGTGGGAATGGGTTTGAGAAAATTTCTGCTTTGGTAGAATGGTGCAGGTACACGAAGGTGCAATATATACTCTGTAATTGATGATGAGCAGCATTGCTATCGCTATCTCGTAAAGATCCTCGACTAGTTTGATCTCAGATCGTCCTCCGTCTATCTGATCACGATGACGCTCTCGTAATGCCAACATCAAAAGTCAGAAGTTGCGCAAGCAATGTTTGAACCATCATCGTAATATTTTAAAAGCCACCAGAAGGAGATATATATCATAGCACACACAACATCCACCAATGGAGTTTGCAGAACACAGCTCTGAACTTAGAGGAATATTTGGTCCCAAGGGAGACTCCTTAAATTGGCTGAAAGCAACCAAAAAGTTTCCCAATGGGGTCCCTCGATTTGAAACGAGAGACGAATGCCTCGAGTTTATGCGCAACTACAACAAAGAAAATGGAGGAAGCAACCCCGAGTACCCCCAACTGAAACATATTTTCACCACGTTGATCACTTGGGATCAAGTTGAAGAGATTCTGATGCCAGCCATTAAGAAGGCTCGCAAGGAACCTAGCTTTGCCAAGAAAGTCCCACGAGATTATGGCAAGGAGCCAGACGATTCCTCCAAAAATATTTACGAGCAATCTGGTGGAAAGGAAGCTGTTGACGCCATCAACTTTCGATTGGACCAACCCTTTCACAAGTGCACCACACCCGAGTCAGTCATCAATACAATGAAGTACCTCTTTTTCCACATGAAGTGTGGGATTTATGTCATGGTGCGCAATGGGGAACTCCGTATATTCTGTCCTTTTACCAATTCGGATTACCGAAACACCTGGAGTGAGACACTAAAAATAGAAGGAGATGGAACACTGGATAAGTACTACACACAAAAAGCCGGATTGTATCGAGAAGAGAATATTGAAAAAGACATGTCCAAATGGTGGGCCAATGGCAACATTGTCTGTAACGAACTGAGTAAGGACAATGATACTTCCAAAATGCAGCACTGGGGAGATCAGTTCTTGAGTCCTCTCCGTGATATGCTGGCAGAAGCCTGTCGATTACGACAAATCCCCGATTGCGAGTTCTTTTTGAACAAGCGTGATTACCCTCAATTAAAAGTCAATGTCGAGAGGGGAGTTCCAGTGGAACCTTATGGGTTCATCTTTGACAAGGACGATCGTGATCCGAACCAAGATGTCGATCTAGTGCCCGAGCACAAGTTCAAGACGTACGCGCCCATTGTAAGTTTTTACGCGGCTGCGGAAGATCGATTCACTGACATTCCATGGCCATCTTCAGAGGATTGGGAGGGTGCCTGTGGACTAGTGTTTCCACAGACCTTCATTTCGTTCGAAAAAGACACTGAAGGATACCCAGTCTTTGGAAACCCCCGTGATCTCTTTACTGAAGCTAACTTTCGAAAGTTTCAACGGGGATGGGATGACAACAGAGTGGCCACAGCCTTTTTCCGTGGGACAGCCACTGGCGGGGGAACAACCATCGATAATAATCAACGTGTCAAGGTAGCATACCTGTCACATAACTGGAAGAATGATCCGGAAAAGGGTGGTGAAGAGCCGTTTTTGGACGCCGCCATTGTCGGTTGGAATCTGCGAGACAAAAAGATAGCGGAACGGCCGATGACCTTTTTGCGCCCCAAGGAATTTGACTTCACAGCAGGTCGGCAACACTTCACTCCGATCTACGAACAGTCCAAGTACAAGTATTTGGTCTATGTAGATGGTCACTGTGCTGCATGTCGTTATGGATTCATGATGCGGTTGGGTTCCGTAATTCTGAAAGTGGCCCCGCGACAAGTGGCAGATCGCATGTGGTACTTTCCCTTGTTGCAGCCCTATGTTGACCACGTGCCCGTCAAATCTGATCTGAGTGACTTGGAGGAAAAGATTCGATGGTGCCGCGAGAATGATGACAAGTGTCGAGAGATTGCCGCCAACTGTACCAAGTTTTACGAGAAGTATGTAGCACGGTCAGCCTTGTTGGACTACGTCGAAATGGTGACCAAACACATTGCCAAGCGGCAGATTGAGCCGCCTAAATGGTGGGAAGCACCCCCAAGAGAACGCCCACCCCCAACATTGAACAAGCCCGATATGAAGTGCTTCGATGACCGGAGCTCCGGAGTCTCTCGATTTTGCGCCCGCTGCCAAGAGGACATTGACAAGGAAGAAGTGGAACTGAGAGAAAACGAAGCCAAGGCGAAGGCGGAAAAGAAGAGTACCAAAAAGAAAAAGCAAACTTTGCGAGAAAGGATGAGAAAGCGAGCCAAAACCAAAAAATAACACCCATGCAAAGAGGTCTTGTCTTCGGATGAGTGAAGCAATCCGTCAGAAACCTACTGTCGGAACGATACATAACGTATACTTGTATGTAGTAAAGTGCGTTATATGTATAATTCTATGACAACTGGAGGGTACCGTTCCACTAAGACTGAAATTCTGTTGAGAAGGACAAATCAACTAATTCCATGGTCTCTCAATCTTCCAAGCTCCACATGCATGTCTTGTGCCATTTTTGCTCGATATCAATTGTTCGTTGTCTGCGCTCGTTTTCCGTATTGAATCTTTTCTTGTCCCCGCTTGATCTTCTGCTCCTTGATGTAGACGATTGAAGAGAAGTAAAACTGACTTGTTGCTCCAGATAATAATGTAGCGATTCATCATCGTTCTTGGGCAACTCTCCGCCAACGTCACGACTTTCGGTGCTTGGTGGTTTTGTTTTCTTGAGGATACTCTCTGGTGCCAATACATCGTGAGTGTTTGTATTGGTTGTGGCCTTTGTTTCCGTTTCGGTCTGACTGCTCTGTGGTAGAAGTCCGATCTCGTCTTCCGAGCAACAAAAACTTGAAGTCTCAGAGCATGATAATGTATCAAGTGTACGAGTAGAGGTAGAGATTTTGAGGTAGTCAGGGGTATGGTACGCATTGAAGTTTGACATGGTACTGGTGTGGGGAACTGTTGCAAAATGTGTGTGAGACGTCATTACTGTTTGTTTTGGAGCTTGACGTTTTGCTACCTTTTTTTTTTGTGACCGATGAGTATTCGAAAGCGCCAGAGTTCCGATAAAAATTCGGTATAATTCGAAAGTAGGATATAATAATAAGAGGTTGCGGTCCCATGCAATGTGGGTCATATCGGTACCGTACAATTAATAAAAACTTTCACTTTTTTCGGCAACTAACTTTTACAGACATTCGTTCTGGATTCATTCACATCATACAAATATATATTATGCCTTCTGCTATTCACCGAAATATGTCAGTTTCCAGCCAGTTCAATGTGTACCGGTATATGTCCGGAACAGCTGCCGGGTAAAATGTGAGCCTGAAGGTTTTATCCGCCATTAATTAAAAACACACGATATTATCAGAGAAAAACTAGCAAGCTCATCACACCTGGTATGTCTAATGAGGTGACTTGACTTCCGCTCCTCTCAGTGTGGTGAGTGGTGAGAAGGCTGACAGAAAAGAGCTGGTCTACGGACGCGCGATCATCGACCTTCGTTCTGTCGGACTCTTTTCCGGGGAAAGTGGCAAATGACCAAGGACATTCCTTCGGAATTCATACGCCTTTTGGCGAAGCAAAATAGAGATTGACTGCCACAGGCACACTGTACGACCTACCTGGTACTGCATCACACTCTCCCTCACTTTCCAGTGAGGGTATTTACTGGTATATATGGTTTCCACAAAAAGAATCAGTCGGCATGGTGAAAGGTTGTTTGCAGTTTTGAACCTCGATAATTGGAGCAAGATCTACAGTAGTGGCAGTTACATCCCCTACCACAAGGTGACACGTCAGTGGGAGCAGAGCCACGTTCCTTTCTAGCAGGTGCCATTTTTGAAAACCTGATGCATCAACAAACTATCATTACTATTTCACTATGATCAACAAGGACAAGACGAAACAACCATTTCGTTTATTTCTTCTTCCAATTCTTTCCCACCTGCTGGCTGCAAACTCCATCATCTCCCTCCTGTACCTTTCAAAGGATTGCTGTGAGATAATGTCTACTACCTCGTAGCTACGTTCCATTGACGTGTGATTCGGTTAGATTTACGATGTAGTTAGGCCACTTGGTTCAGAGTGGCATGAGGTCAAAGACTGCAAATCGGACAGAGCATGGGAGGCGCGAACAAAGAATCCTTTTTCGATTGTTGCGAGAGGTGTGGAAGCCCCGATAGCAAAACTCCTCGAAAGTGTAGAAAGTTCCACCCAGCCAAAGAAGAATAATATTATATTTTGCAGGACATGCAAGACAAAATCGTCCGTAGGAAATGCGTATCGAAATTCTGCTTTCTGGAACGGCCGGGAAATAGAAATTTAGCATACAATTCTTGGGAGTAAATGTTGATTTTCCCGGCCGTTTTGTTTGGGCAAATTGGTTCCCGAGCCGGGCCGTATGCAGCACAGCCAAGGACTGGGCTGGAGTCTATTACGAGCACAGCATGCTGGCTGGGAGGAATAGGATCCTTCTCAAACTCTTGTTGGTAGCAGCACTGACAGCGACAATTCGAAAGTCTAAAAGGTCCCAGCCAATGACTCTGGTAGTTTTGCTGGATCTCCCATCCTTGGTCTCAGGAAGGCAGTCGAAGTACGGGTTTTGGTATTCACTGTTTCGCTTGTGGACGATTTGTTCTCGGAGAAACACACAACCAATGGAAATATTTGAGGCTCACTCTCCTCGTGTCATATGCTCAATGTAATCGGAAAGTCTGCTCGCACTTCTGAGCAATAGAACGCACTGAGCTGACGGGAAGTCGTTCATTGTTCATCGTATCGTCGAAGTTCTGTCACGTGACACTTTTGTTTCAGGGATAGGCAAATGACAAAAGATGTTTCGGAACGCTCCGGAAGAAACCCTAAATCATGTTCCCCGTCAGTTTCTTGTGAGATCTGACGGATAAAACGTCAGATAGGAGATTTTCCAGGAAGAGCACCCGGTTTTGTCGGAGAAAGACCCAGTGCCGTATGTATGATTACGATCAAGTTGAGGTGACACAAACTCCTCGTCCAATAAAGAAGAAAAAAAGAAAGTCAACCTAAACTCAAACTATCCCACAAAAACAATTTCAAAACACAGCAGCAGCATCACAATGCCTACCACAAGAAGAGTAACCATCAACCCGAATGTCAAGTTTCATGAAATCTTGACCATTTATGATTACAATGCGAGCGAAATCAGAGCTACCTGGTATGATGAAGCTGAAATGGACAGAATCGCGCAAAAATGCTGCAAGATTGTGAAAGAATTGGACGGTGGGAGCGCCAAACAAAGCAAGTACTGCATTCGAGGCTTGGAAACCCACACCAGATTGGGCTCAATCAGGAAGAGAAGCAACAGAGTGGCTGCGAAAACAGCAGTACTCGAGGAACAAGAAAACCAATTGAACGAGAATAAGGAAACTGACGTCCAAGCCATCTCCGATGCTTATCGATGCACAACTTCAAGTTGCCAAATGTGGGCTCAAGTTGTTGGTAGTCGTGACCACAAAGAAGTAGAAGCCTATCTATATGATGGCAATGACGATGACGAAGAAGAGGAAGATCCAGTAGGGAGAAAACATTCTCCTTCCTCGACAATCTTCTGTTCGCAAAGCCAAGAATCCAAAATAGTGATGTGGGCAGCTAGTACAGCAAGTGCCACGGCCATAGCGGCGTAGTTCAACTTGGTCAGTCGATACTGCAGTACTGTGCAAATAAGAGTATACAGAACAAATCGACAGATTGCATCTTATCCTGTAGGATTCGTGATTAGGCGATGTCGAAGTCAACAGAAGAAGTCAAGCAATACTCGGGATCGACTTCAACTGTGATTGAAAGACACTACAAACATCTATTTACTCGCATGGATCAGTTATTCATTTTTATGGACTATCCATTTCTATTTTTCTATTCTAGATGCTGGGGTGGGGCACGAATTCCTTCACCACAAGAGCCTGCAATAGTTTCTACCCACTGTTCTGAACATATGTCGTTCCGGAGAAAAGCTCACCTGTACACGCGCCAGCCGATTACTCATAATGAAGGAGGTTGTCTATGGACGAGCAATTTGGCGACCTGCTTCCTAGGATATGGCAAATGGCCAACATCCCTTTTGAATTCAGACACCTTTCGACGAACCACGTCGGCTACCGTTTTTGAATCGAATTAGATCGCAATAATACAGAATGTTCCTCGTCCGTTTCTAGTTTGGGGTTATTTCCATATCCTAAGACAAACCTACCATTCAATCCCAAAACAGAACAACAAGCTCGATATGAAGTTCTTCGATGATCGGAGCTAGGTGCCAAGAGGACATTAACAAGAAAGAGGAGAAAACGAAGCCAAGCCAAAGGCGGAAAAGATCAAAATATAGTATAGAAAAGTACGCAATGTATAATTCTATGACAACTGGAGGGTACTGTTCGACTAATAGTGAAACTCTATCGTGAAGAAGAAAGCAAATGATGCCATGGCCTCTCAATCTTCCAAGCTCCATCTGCATGTATTGTGCCATTTTTGCTCGATATCGATTGCTCGTTGTCTGCGCTCGTTTTCCGTATTGAATCTTTTCTTGTCCCCGCTTGATCTTCTGCTCCTTGATGTAGACGATTGAAGAGAAGTAAAACTGACTTGTTGCTCCAGATAGTAATGTAGCGATTCATCGTTCTTGGGCAACTCTCCGCCAACGTCACGACTTTCGGTGCTTGGTGGTTTTGTTTTCTTGAGGATACTCTCTGGTGCCAATACATCTTGAGTGTTTGTATTGGTTGTGGTTTTTGTTTCCGTTTCGGTCTGACTGCTCTGTGGTAGAAGTCCGATCTCGTCTTCCTAGCAAAAAAAACTTGAAGTCTCAGAGCATGATAATGTATCAAGTGTACGAGTAGAGGTAGAGAATTTGAGGTAGTCAGGAGTATGGTACGCGTTGAGGTTTGACATGGTACTGGTGTGGGGAACTGTTGCAAAATGTGTGTGAGACGTCATTACTGTTTGTTTTGGAGCTTGTTTCTGGCGGCGTTTTACTGCTGGTGCTTTTTTTTTGTGAGCGGTAGCATTCGAAAGCACCAGAGTTTGCATACCAGTTCGATATAATTCCTAAGAATGGAAGCTACTGTAGCTCCAAAAGTGCGAATCACTTCGGTCCTGTACAAAATAGCTCGTTTGGGCACCGTCACCGGTCACCGCTGTCACTTTTTCGGTGGATATTCGAATATTTTTCGGCAGAAAAGCTGGCGCTTTTTCGTCAACCATTCACAAATCCACAATTTTATCAACAAAAGTCATAATCGGAGAAAAAAAACCGGAAGCCCATCAAATATCACAAGAACAAGGTGACGTTACTTACATACCGGTACGCTCCTCTTCCAGTGTGGGAGAACTGACGGAAAAAAGGGTCTTTAGCTCTGTCAGTCTCGCTTCCGGGGATACTGGCAAACAAGGAAGTTCCTTCTGAATTCATATGCCTAATAAATAGTGAGATCAAGTGCCCCCGGTACTGCATCGTACACTCCTTCCCTTTCCAGTGAGTTCTTTTTAAAAAATTGATATCCCTCAACGAGCAAGGAGATCCGCCATGGGTGGTAAAGGCTGTATACAGTTTAACATACGATAATTGGAGCAAGATCTAGGGCGGTTACACCACTATACAGCAAGGACGTGACACACGCTCCTTTTCCAGGGGCCGTTGCACCAGTCTAGTTTGATCATACGTGAAAGAGAAGATCAAAAGATGGTATGAAAAAGTGCACTATGTATAATTCTCTGACAGATGGAAAGCACGGCTCGACTAATAGTGAATCTCTATCGTGAAGAAAAAAGCAAATGATGCCATGGCCTCTCAATCTTCCAAGCTCCATCTGCATGCCTTGTGCCATTTTTGCTCGATATCAATTGCTCGTTGTCTGCGCTCGTTTTCCGTATTGAATCTTTTCTTGTCCCCGCTTGATCTTCTGCTCCTTGATGTGGACGATTGAAAAGAAGTAAAACTGACTTGTTGCTCGAGATAATAATGTAGCAGTTCATCGTTCTTGGGCAACTCTCCGCCAACGTCACAACTTTCGGTGCTTGGTGGCTTTGTTTTCTTGAGGATACTCTCTGGATCTTGAGTCTTTGTATTGGATGTGGCTTTTGTTTCCGTTTCGGTCTGACTGCTCTGTGGCAGAACCCCGATCTCGTCTTCCGAGCAAAAAAAACTTGAAGTCTCAGAGCATGATAATGTATCAAGTGTACGAGTAGAGGTAGAGAATTTGAGGTAGTCAGGAGTATGGTACGCATTGAGGTTTGACATGGTACTGGTGTGGGGGACTGCTGCAAAATCTGTGTGAGACATCATTACTGTTTGTTTTGGAGCTTGACGTTTTGCTACCTTTTTTTTTTGTGAGCGATGAGATCGAAAGCGCCAGAGTTCCGATAAAAATCGGTATTTCGACAGTACCGCAGTAGTACCAGTACGGTCCCGTGCAATGTGGGTCATGTCGGTATTCGTACTGCAGAATTAAGTTCGGCAGACATTCGTTCTGAATTGAGATGATTCAAATATGCCTTCTGCTATTCACCGAAATATGTCAGTTTCCAGTCAGTTTGATGTACACGTACCAGGTACACACCGGTACACGCGTATATATCCGAACAGCTGACGGGTAAAATGTGAGCATGAAGGTTTCTATCCACACGCTTAAAAAAATTCTTAAAAAAAACACACGGTATTATCGGAGAAAAACCAGCAAGCTCAGAGTCATCACAAGCGGTATCCACAATGAGGTTCGTAGCTATGTTCTATTGACATGTGATTCGCTTAGACCATTCGAAAGTCTAAAAGGTCCCAGCCAATGACTCTGGTAGTTTTGCTTGCTGGATCTCCCATCCTTGGTCTCAGGAAGGCAGTCGATGTACGGGTATTGGGATTCACTGTTCCGCTTGTGGACGTTTTGTGCTCGGAGAAACACACCATGGCAAATATTTGAGGCTCACTCGCGTCATCTGTTCAAAGTAATCGGAAAGTCTGTTCGCACTTTTCAGTGAACGACTGCTGAATTGAGAATACCGTATGGAACATTCAATATGGTCGAACTGTTCAAATAATACGTCTGTCCTTCCTTACATCTCACGCTTTTCGGTCGAGTTCTTTGTAGAGATTTTGGATCGTGTGACATGTTTTTGAGAAACAACTGTGCAATGAAAGGCATTGTCAATACTTTCTTTACTGCTTTCTTGATCCAATTCGACCCTTCTTTTGCTTCCGCTGCTGCCAGTACCTGTCCTCCTCCTATTACTACTAGTACAATCATGTCTGATCTACCTCGTTGGGATTTGAGCAGTCGTTTTGGCTTTGCATCTCCGTTTGATGACAAGATTGACACCTTGTTGGAAACCATCAAGACGGATGCCAAGAAATTCCGTGAGACTTATGAAAACAAGCTTGAGGAGAACTTGTACAAGGCAATTCAAGAATATGAGGCCATTAGTGTCCAAAAAGCCACTATTGGCTCCTATCTTCACCTATCCTATGATACTCAATTGAACGACGACAAGCTGAAGAAGCGTCAGGGAGCCATTTCCCAAATCCAGTCGTCTATTGTGGGAGACTACTTGGAATGGTTCACCCTTGATTTGGCCTCCATCCCCACTGATACTATTTCGGATCTCAAAACGAAAACACCGGAATTGAGCAAGTACACTGCCTTTTTGGAGGAAGTGCAACGAAGCAAACCTCACGATTTGAGCAAGGAAGTGGAGCGAGCCTTGACAGTCCGGTCTCCCTACACTGGTACTCGTCCATTGGTTTCCTTTTTGGACAAGGAGCTTAGTATGATGAAGTTTGATTTGAAAGATGGAACTGATGAAGTCAATATGGAGGTTTTGCTTGGCAAGATGTCCTCCTCCAAGGATGCGACTACTCGAGCCACTTGCATGAAGGCACTCAACGATGGTCTTGGCAATACGGTTTCTCGAGTTGGGGCTCTCTCCCTTTCGGCAGTCGCTGGATCCTGGCTTATTGAAAACAAGGAACGATCCTACAAGGGATTGCGTACTCGACGCAACCTCGACAACAACTGTCCGGACGAAGTTGTTGATAGTTTGTTGGAGGCTGTTCGTTCAGATGGGGTGACTTACTGTAAGCGATACTATGCCATGAAGAAGATCATTCTCAAAGAAACCCAAGGTTTGGACACTTTCCGTTGGTCTGATCGTAACGCTCCCATTGATCTTTCCACCAACAAGGATGCTGGAGAAGAAAAGAAGGAGGAGGAAGACAAGATTTCGTGGCCCGAAGCTGTCAGTATGGTCGAACGTGGCTACCGCAAGTTCAGTCCACAAATGGCCGACTTGTTCATGGGTATGGTGAACGAAAAACGCATCGACGTGCCAGCGGTGGATCACAAAAAGGGTGGTGCCTATTGTGCGGGAGTTGTTCCTGGAATCGGGCCCTTTCAACTATTGAACTTTGATGGATCCAAGAATGATGTTTCCACACTTGCCCACGAATCGGGTCATGGATGTCATGATATTCTAGCCTACAAGCAAGGTTACCTACAATACCATCCTCCTCTCACATTGGCTGAGACAGCTAGCATCTTTGGAGAAATGATCGTGTTTAGAGACTTGCTAGCTCTTACCAAGTCTCCACAAGAAAGATTGACCTTGTTGATGAGCAAGATTGATGATGTCATTAACAGTGTCGTTCGTCAATGTTCCTTTGATCGCTTTGAAGAACTTGCTCACAGTGCACGTGACAAGGGAGAACTCTCTTCCGAGGAGTTGGATGCCTTTTGGGCTCAAGCCATGGTTGAGTATTATGGCAAGGCAGGGAACGAGGGAGGCGACTCGCCATTTGATACCTATGAAGATACGACTCATTTGTGGAGCTATGTCCCACATTTTCACCATGTGCCTTTCTATGTATACAGCTATGCGTTTGCGGATTTGGTTGTCGGTAGTCTTTACAATAGTTTTCAAAAGAATCCCGATGGATTTGAGGATCGTTTGATTGACTTATTGAGCGCTGGAGGCACCCGCGACTTTGCCACCGCCTTGGCTCCCTTTGGTTTGGATCCCACCAGCCCATCCTTTTGGAAGGAAGCATTGGAGGCTCATTTGGGAGCACTGCTGCAAGAAGCAGAGACTATTGCCAATGACTTGGGATACAGTGGTACCAAGTAGATGTCTATCTATTGTTATAATTGCTGCCAGTAAGCAACGTTGTAGACATGAATTGTTGAATCATCGTCTTTTGGTTCCATCTTCCATCGGTGACCAGAAAAGCAGTACGAGTAGAGTGTAGTGTGTAGATAGATCCCGGAAGAATGGACATGATTTGAATGAAGACTGGATTTGATTACTTCGACCCCTTGGAACTTCGACTCATTTATTTTTTGTCAGCGATGATGTCCTACCGGTATTATTATACTGCGGCACCGCCCTCTATTGTCATTCCAAAGCGTAGGCAGACTCAGGCAAGATGGTTTCTAGATTCCTCACCATCCTCCTCGTCTCTGTCGCACTCCAATACGCTGCGGGTTTATCTCCAGTGTCTCTTTTTGGAACGAGCAAGGCACAACGGGTGGACATTGACTTTGCCTCCTCCAACGAAGACAGCACAGACACATCAAATGCCTGCGAATCCCGTAGGATCTTCCTGTCGGCAGCCGCCATGCAAATATGCCTCCTAGGGGCAACTTCTCCAGCAAAAGCTGCTGCAGATGGAGCAACAGTATACAAGAGTGGCAAGGCTCCCATTGTTCCAGGCCAGAAACCAAAAGACAAGAGTGATGTCAAAGGAACCCGCAAGGACCCTGACTTCTTGCGATCTATCGCCGACTGCCGCAACCAATGCCAGAGTTCCAACGGCCCTGATGGTTTTGCCAAGGCCAAGGAAGACTGTCTCTCGGAATGTCAGGATATTTGCTGCACGACATACGAACAATGGTAAGGCATTTTTATGAAATGACTGACTCGTTACATTTCAAGCTTCCTTTCATTTTCTAATCAACTTACTTTTTTACGGCCATAGCACCTTCAACATTGTTCCAAGACTGTAATACCTTTTTCGAAACTTGCTATATTTGGGATGCCTCGGTTCCATTCAATTGGATAACTCACCAGATGCTACGTGGTTGATAGACTCAGACAATCATGCTTTTAAAATTAATATTTTTAAAAACCAATATATACATTACCAATATATATTGTAGCACGCACACTCGATGCAGTAGTGACCTATAAAGAAGGATTATACTATGATGTGCAATAGAGAACTTAGTTAGATGGTGATGGTTCGCTTCTCGACTATGGGAACGTATTCAGGATAATACATTTTCCGAGCCACAAATTCGTTCAGATCCTTGGCATCTTCAGCAGAAATCTTCGTGGCTAATCCATCCCGCATGGCTTCTTCGATGACTGCCACGGCAATCTTGTGGGAGACCATGCGAATCTTGGAGATATGAGGGAAGACTTGTCCCCTTGCCAAGTCTTCTTCGGGAACACATTCGGCTAGTGCCTTGGCGGCAATGTACAACATGCGGTCACTGACTTTCTTAGCTCCACAGAGTGTAGCTCCCAATCCCACACCTGGGAAGACATACACTGTTTTGTAGAAAAGAAGGGGGGGGAAATAGACGGAGTTGAAGAGTTAGGAGGATGTTCCTAGCAGGTGTAAAACAATGATGAGACAACCAATCGTCACGTACTGTTGTTGCACTGAGAAGTATAGTAGGTCTTTCCATCCACCATTTCCACTGGATCAAATGGAGATCCAGAAGCAAAGATACATTTTCCATCTGTCCATTCAAAGGCCTGTTCAGCAGTACATTCGGCCTTGACGGTGGGGTTGGAAAGTGGGAAAATGATAGGTCGCTCGACACCTGCTGCCAATTCGCGAACAAACTCTTCATTGAACAGCCCACCAACAGCAGTGACACCCAACACAATGGTAGGCTTGTGCTTCTTGGCGACATCCACAATGGACATGCCGTCGTCTTCGGCGCGTGCGAATGGTTTTGTTTCGGGGGTGAGCTTCCCTACTCTTTCTTCACCGATGAGTCTGTTTTGATGTCGGAATAAATTGAATGAAGAATAATACAGTGAGTGGGAGAAATGGCATTGAATGATAGGCAATTATGGTAGAGAGGAACCAGAAGCAACGAATTTCTGCTTCTGGCATGCGACAATTCAGATGCATTTCAAACAACAAGATCACAACTTACCCGTGTTGGTCACAAATGAAAAAGGAATCCTTGGCTTGCTGTTCGGTGTATCCTTGCTCGAGCATGGCACCATACAAAACTTGAGCAATTCCAATTCCAGCACTTCCAGCCCCGACGATTAGAATACGCTGATCACCTAATGAAGTCACCTCTTCGCCCTTGGCACGAATGGCCCCAAGCAAACCAGCCAATGTGGTGGCACCTGTTCCCTGGATATCATCATTGAAGCAAAGATGCTCGTTGCGGTATTTGTCCAACAGACGCTGGGCAACAGAGGAGTCAAAATCTTCAAATTGGACCAAAACATTTGGCCAGCGGTAGCGGACCGCTTCCATGAATTCATCCACTAGGTGATAGTATTCTGGTCCTCGTAGACGAGGCTTTTGGGCACCCAAGTAGAATTCATCTTCCAAGAGCTCTTTGTTGTCGGTTCCGACGTCCAAGACAACTGGCAACACACGGTGTGGAGCAATTCCACCAGCGGCACAGTACTATCAGACGAGGGGCACACGGAACAGCGCGAGAGGTGAAATGTAAGTATCATCGAACTCAACATATATGCGTCCTGCATGATAAATCTTCTTGTTGCTAGCTACGTACCAATGACAGTTTACCAACTGGAATACCCATTCCATTGGCACCCAAGTCACCCAAACCCAAAATGCGAGAGCCATCTGTTACCACAATCACGTGGACATCAGGCTGGGGCCAGTTGTACACCATGGCTGCCATGTGGCCACGATCCTCTTCGGAAAAATACATACCACGAGGTCTTCGGAAGCGGGAAGAATGTTCTTGGCAGGCTTGGCCGACGGTGGGAGTGTAAATCAAAGGCGCCATTTCCTCCATATGATCAACTAGGACGCGGTGATACAATGTTTCATTGCGATCATGCAGATCTTCCAACATGATATTCTTGCGAATATTGGAATCCAAATCGCGCAGTGTAATGAGGAAGCGGTCAATTTGTTTGTGAATGTTCATGATACGATGTGGCAGCAAACCACGTAGTCTCAGACGATCCCTTTCTCCGTTCTTAAAGGCTGTTCCTTTACTGTATAATGGGTTGGTCAAAATATCAGATCCACGGACCGAAATCTGAAGGGGAGACATAAAGTTGCGTCGGCATCCCTCCCATTCTCCTTCATCAGGGACTTGTTCTGGGACTTCCCATGGTGAAACTTTGACATCCATGGCATCATCTTCCTCTGTAGGAAGGGTGGCAAAGAATCGGGTTGCGGCGACAGGAGACGACGTGGGCGATGACGATGTCGTTACTACAGCCGCTTTCTGACTATTCCTTTTCCAGGAATTGGAGGCATTTCCTCTGTATCTCGTCGCCAAGACGCGGGCAGACGACGACAGCATGATACAATTTCGGTTGCTTTGCTTTTCGGCTCGCCTCTGATTTCGTGTATCCTCCTCTTACCTACCGGCTATGTTGTTCAAGGGGATTATGAAGTCGAACAAGACAACGTGACCTTTGCTTGAATTGAAATTTCAATTCTGTCGAGGTCTACACCGTATACACAACGTTCTTGTTGTGACGTCATCGCTGCAAAAAAAGGGTTACGACTTTGATTGAGTCGTCGTTGTCGGATTGTTGACACAAGCGATCAAATCAATTATAGAAGTTAATACGCAAAACCCCATAATAAGCCAAACACACGTGTAGACTGCAGTCAGTGGACGATGAACCCAATCAATCGCATTTTATTGTGGGCGCATTCTCGACGAGATCATGATCAGTTTCAAATAAACGAAACCGAAGCTTTGGGCGCTCGATGATCAACCATGCAGCATTATAAACATGCGCCAAAAGGGCGCCAACACCAACGAAGAGTTCATCAACTAGCTCAGGAGAGAAATAGAGGTCTACAAGAAGCTCAGCGGCCTTTGATTTTAATGGACAAAGTGCCTAGAAAAGCAGATGGAGGAAGCGGTCGCGAACACCAAGGCAATGAAATTCTTCATGACTTCGGAAGAGGAATTGGAAGAAAGACGAGTGCAAAGGGAGGTACTCCAAGAAAAGATCATCGAAATGGCGATCCTGAACAGAGCTGACAAGAGAAGCGGTTCGGGAGTCTCCAAATCGAGTTGCCAAGTGCGTACTTGCTGGGACAAGATCAGTACCCAAAGACTGTAGCAGCAGCCTCGAACCTCCTTGACAACTATAAACAAGATTGAGTCAAAAATTGCCCGTCCGAAAATGGAAGGCCCCCTAATCCTAATAGGACCATGCAAAGAACTGGAAGTGGAACGATAGTCGGAATTCCATCGGTGGCTTTCGCGCAGACTTCGGGAGGCGATTGTGTTATTTTTATTTTTCTCCAAGGAACCAACAACTCCTTCAAACCACACATCTCGTGTCATCTATGTGGGATCAAGGGTCATTTGAAAAGTCATTGCCCAGTGGCAGTGGACCAGGATGGGACAAAGATCACGGAATGACAAAAGGGGAGGTTAATGGACCCCTGCTAGTGGACTAGAGGGAGTCTGCGCTGGATCAATTTACTATTGAACTAGCACAACGCAACTCGTATCAACTCAAACAGTATTCTCCTCGACAACGAGTCTGTCCATTGACAATATTTTTCGTGACGCCGAGTTGATAATTGATGTTGCGGCTATGCTAACTGATGGAGAAGTGTCAAGTCAGCGCGGCACTGGCGCCGGCACTCGTGACACTGACCAAAAGGGACTGTTTGGAGATCATGGAGTGTGGTTTAGTTGGCAATACTGAGCCAATATATACTGTCACTTATTTGGCTTCACACTCAATGTGCCATTCTTGCCTAAGGTATATATGTGAAAACATACAAGACCTCTCTGTACAATGCATCATTCAAAACCGACATCACTACATATCTTTATACAAAAATACTGTATAGTATGACTGCAGAACACATGCACCATCCACTTCAACTCTTTACTTTGTGAACTCTTTGTTGACCAATCCCAAGATAGTGCCATAGAAGTAGCGCGACATAAATCGCAGCTGCGAGGATTGACCTGGATTGATTTCATCCTCGCCCTTGTCAAGGCCAATTCGGACGGCAGCTAGTAGCTGGTCGACTGGCATTGCATCAAAGTCTTTGTTGGTATCCATATGTGCTGTCATGGGAGTTTCGACCAAAGGAGGCAACAATTCAATCACCTTGATGTTGGTCTTTGACAACTGGTATCATAGACTCTATGTGCAAGAGTGCAAAAAAGCCTTGGAAGCACAGTAGACAGGCATTTTTGCGTATGGAACATATGCTAAACCAGAAGATACAATCATAAGTTGTGCATTGTCTTTCTTCTTGAGCATTGTCTTTCTTCTTGAGCATTGGGAGGAAGTAATGAACTCCATGAAGGACACCTTTGATATCGATATCAACTTCTTAGAATTGTGTACTGATTTTGTTTGTCTCATCCAGAAAATCAATGTCATGAGCGACTCCAGCATCTGATAGTTGTCAAAAGTGCGAGAAGATTGTGAGCGGAACGCTTGGTCGCTGTCTGACAATTGATTGGTGTCGGCCAGCCATATCACTTACTGTTGACGAGAAAGTCGACACCGCCCTTCTTCTCCATGGCATCGCGAAGCTTGATCATGTCATCATCCTTGGAGACATCACAGACAAATGGAGTGATATTTTCGTGCTCCTTTGCCGCTGCTTCAAGCTTGGACTTGGTACGCCCGGTAATGACGACTTGAGCCCCATCCCGGGAAAAGCTCTTGGCCATTTCAAGACCAATTCCACTTCCTCCGCCGGTGATGACGATGAGCTTGCCACTGTAATCCACCTTCTTGCTACTGCTACTGAAAATACCTCCCATGATTCTGTATTTATTTGTTGTTGTTGTTGTTGTTGTTGTTGTTGTTGTTGTTGTTGTTGTTGTTGTTTGCTCTTTGGTTGGAAAAGTGAAGTCGAATATATTACCGACAGTTCATATTCAAAGAAGCTCTTCGAACCACTCCAAAGCCATCGTATTGCAGTCGCCCGTTCCCGGCCTGTCATCAATCGTCAACGACTGCAGAGTGTCATCAAACAAAAAATGATGTGTCTTAACGAATCATTGGATCACACATGCTGCTGACGACGGTCTGCAGCCTTGACACGTTTGCAGAAGTGTATCGACCATGTTTGACAACGATGAAGTTCATGATGGATGGATTTTGCTTGTCCGGCAGATGGGCAATACGGAAGTACGTGACCATTATATTACGCGTCAGTACTAGGGATTTCTTGGCGCTGAACAAGTTCCTTCACATCTTCTCCTTTCTCCTGGAACTTATCAGAAAGTCCAAGGGTACGATAGATGGCATTCTTGGCATCACCACATGGAGGGCGCATCTGTCCAGGTGCAGGGGCAGGATACTTTGCAGCTGTGTCGGGTCCATTCCACTGGGGATCTGGAACACCAAGTCGGGTACTGGTACTTCAACTGTATACAAGTACTAAAAGAGACGACAGTCTTCTTTTGGTCTTGCAAAAGGAACAGCGTCAAATAATGTAGATCAATGATCCCTAAGTATTCAGTATGGTTAAAAACCCCAAGGTGATGACCTCGTGAATTCCTGTGATGTCCAAACCCTAAAGTACAGTTCATAGGTACTGGTAGCAGTCTATCCGATCATTATCTTCATCCATGAAAGTTTTGAAACCTCGTCATTACTTCGCATCAAGTAAACATGGGAGTAGAATGAAATGAAATTGAATCAATATCCTCAAGCAGTTTGGAACTTCCACCCACCCAAAATGAAGATAAGGAAGACGATCTAAATGATGATGACGACGGCAATGGTGCTGAACATCAGAATGAATAAAATCATAGAGCATTGGATGGAGCCCCGCCTTGTCTTCCGACTGCACAAATTAATAGCAAAGCACTGAGTGACAAATTGAATGATAGGGATTGCCAACAGCACCAATTCAAGCAGAAATACATTCTTTGGGTATACCAGTGTCTACTCTGTATAGCAGTGCTTGTTTTGGCTGCGTTTGGATCGTGGTTTGGCTTGAGAAGAACCAACTCTTCAGCTGCGAGTGGGAGAATGACTACTTTGTCTCCAACTGGGGGTCCCTTTTCGATTCCTAATTCTACCAACCAAGATGTCCAGTTTGATCTGCCATCGGCAGAAGATTGTGCTGCTATTGCAAAAGGAGAGGAGATACAAGGTCAGGACACAATGCCCATACAAAGATACCAGCTCAACCTGGATGTGACTCCTTTAATTCCCATATTTTTGAGTTTCTCAGTTGGTATTATTGAAGATTAAATCAGAGAGAAGCTTACTCCTGTGCTCACAGGATGCAATCAAGTTTTCCAAAGAAGCTTACGCCATGAGCAGTTGGTGCATCATCGCCATCTTGATGAAAATTCCTTGTTATTCTCGTATGCAATTGGAAATGTGGCGGTCGATGCTATCGGAGTTGAGGGGGGTCCATGCATGGGTGATGCCAATGACCCACTTTGCCATCGAGTCAGTGTTGAGCTTGGCATTGTGGTAAAGGCTACAACCGTGAAAATAAGACATATTTGCGGAACTTACCGCAGTCTTTGGTGGAGGAGGCTCTCTTACCGATATGTTTGAAGTGGCTGGGATTTATGAAAGCTTGATCACTGTGAGCTTTGGACCGATTGATTCAACAGCGTTGCCGATAACTGAGCCAACCCCTTCATCAAAGCTTCCAACTACAGCATTTCCTACTCCATTTCCGACGCCCCAACCTTCTCCTTCTCCACCCCCAGGACCCACTTCACCTCCGACACCTAGACCAACTTTGACACCAGTCGCCCCGCCTACGCCTCGTCCCATGACTCCCCAACCGACTCCTTCGCCAGTTCCTAGACCCACTATATCTCCGACCATGCCGCTATTTTCAACTCCACCCACGCCGCTATCATCAACAATTCCATGTTTTCAAGCTAGCAAAGAGCTCTCTATTGCAGTTTGCAGCTGGTTTGAGGCTCCGCACTTAAGGGACTCAGTCGAGGCCAAGTATGGAGCAATGGGAGACTGGTGCTTTGGTGCACGTGTCACCAGTATGTGACTACTTTTCCATGGCCGTTCTACTTTCAACGAGGATACTGGCATTGGCAACTGGGATGTTTCTTCCGTCACTGATATGTATGGGATGTTCTGGCAAGCAGCTTTCTTCCATCAAGACTTGTCATCATGGGACGTTTCTTCTGTTGTTGACATGGGGTACATGTTCCGGGAAGCAACTGGCTTCAATCAAGACTTGTCATCATGGGATGTTTCTTCAGTGTCCAACATGGGGTACATGTTCCACCTCGCAGTTTCTTTCAACCAAGACTTGTCATTATGGGACGTTTCTTCAGTTACCCATATGCATGCGATGTTTGACGGGGCATATTCTTTTAACCAAGACTTGTCATCATGGGACGGTGACTGACATGCATTGGATGTTCCGCAACACAGGCTTCTTCAATCAAGACATATCAGCATGGAATGTTTCTTCTGTATCCAGCATGCATGGGATGTTCTGAAAAGCGGCTGCTTTCAGGCGAGACTTGTCATCATGGGACGTTTCTTCTGTCACCAATATGGCAGGATGTTTCATGATGCGGTTTTCAACCAAGACATCTCATCATGGGATGTTTCTTCCGTAACTGACATGGGGTACATGTTCCAGCTCGCAACAGCCTTCAATCAAGACTTGTCATCATGGGATGTTTCTTCCGTCACCAATATGCGATGGATGTTCCAGGGCGCATCGGCTTTTAATCAAGACTTGTCAGGATGGGACGTTTCTTCTGTAACTGATATGGGGCACATGTTCCACACCGCAGAATCCTTCAACGGAGACATATCCTCATGGGATGTTCGCTCCTGTCGAAACATGCTTGCGATGTTCCTTGGAGCAACTTCCTTCAATAGTAACCTGTGTCCGTGGGGCACACGCCTTCCGAGCAATGCCAAAGTCAGTGCTATGCTTTTCAGCATTAGCTGCCCCTCAAAATCCAGCCCAGACCTGTCTTCCAATCCACCAGGACCATTTTGCCACTTTTGTATATAGTGGTTTGATTGTTTGAAGTTAAAAGAAAGACATTCTTTTAATACTATACACCCCGTTTGTTCTTGGTCTTGGAAGATTTGAAGGATTGGGAGCTCATGGTAATGGCAATGAATCATCGCATCTTCCTACTTTCTGTCTTTTGCCTTTTTATCCTTTATTCCAGTCTCCTCTTTCCTTTCCAAGCACCAACTCGATGAATGTATTTTTGAAATGTTGTTCCATCGGTGTCACACCTAGAGTATGATTTCGTTGGGCTATTTATTTGTTTCTTCCATTGAGATTGTATCTTTGCAATGGTAGTAAGACAATTTGTGACCTCTGGAACCAGACTTGGAATCCACCAGGGTCGATGTTGTGTATAGGCTAGTTATAGAAAAGATGTCGGGACGACTGTTCAACGAGTTGAGGATTTTTGCTCTCTAGAGACACTATAGCACTAATAGTTCATTTCCCATTACGCACGATTCCTTCCGACAAAATTCCTTGCAGGTAGATGATTGAGGATTCATTCAGCAATCACGGATCTGATGGCATGAAATAACTAGACGGTATGTACCAAAAGGTTTGATTGAGGGATAGTTCGCATCCCTAAGATTGATGGCTTCAATATCGAATCCGATACAAAGACAACATCATTTGGACAAGCGCGTACCATAACCTTATAACAGACAACTCCGAAATTGAATTCTTTCATGCCTTGCAAGAAAGCATACCAAAATTCGTCAACCCTTCCAACTGAGAGTGAAGCCTGTTTCATCGGCAGATTCATTTATGCATGCCTTTTTCGACCCAACTGCATTTAGATCTTTCTTTATTCTGCTGCATCCATCTTTGCGTGCATCAGCGATTCAATACGATAGAGGTATTGCAACTTGGCCACGATGTGCTTGGCCTTGGTTTCATCTGCGGTTTCATCAAAGGCTTCCGTCAATTCATCCAGCAAAGTGCCAATATGAATTTGAGTTTCCTTCCATAGGGGTTCCATGTTTTTCGGCGGTGTTGCTTCCACGGAATCTTGGAGTTCCATAATGTCCATTAGAAATTCCGTACCCACCAAGTCGGTCTTGGAAGTTTCATCAATCTTAAAAACGATGAAGTATAGACGAATGTGTCAGAGAGAACTAGTTCATCATCCATCGTTCTTGACACTTTCATCGATCTCTTAGTTACTCACCGGATTGCCTTGCAATGTCAGCAAATGCTTGGCCCTTAAACTGGGATGGCTGAGTGTCTGAAAAGCATGCGTAATGCTGGCTGCCTTCTCATCAATCCAATCGCGCTTCTCTAAGGACTTGTCTTGATGCTTATCTGGATGGAACTCGTTCATGAGCTTGTGATACTTGAGCTTGAGTTCGGAATGTTTCAATCCAAAGCGCCGTGGGACGCCCAAGGTCTGAAACGAATCCATCAAGTCTGTTTCAGTATCGGGTTCGGGAGCTGCGGCAGTGGAAAAGGCAGCTGTTGATCTCAAGGCATTCGTGCTGAGAGCGCTGAGGGAATTCACCAGTCGCAAGGAAGCTCGTGTCGTTGATGTCATCATCATTCTATCTTACACTCCAATCTAAAGTACTTGTTGCGAACTATTCTATTGAGTTTTATACTATGAGATAAGAAGAGTGCAACACGAACGCTCATATTTCATCGCAGTTTGCAAAAAGAACGACCCGAATTTCGCATGATGCTGCAGAGATGCAGAAGGACTCGTCTGGCCGCTTTGCGAGGTGTGACGTCAGCTTACACTTTGCGAACTTTCCAAATTGATCCAGACGCCAGAAGGACGTACTCGTCTGGCCGCTTTGCGAGGTGTGACGTCAGCTTACACTTTGCGAACTTTCCAAATTGATCCAATTTGATCATCAGAAAGCCATCACCTAAAAGCGTTAGATGTAGGTCGACAATGACGCTTCCATTCTGCTCTAAATTGATCTTCCTGCCTGAGCATTGATCAACTTTTCGGGGCTCTTGCCTCTATCGTTGCTTCAGAACCACTCATAATCTTCAGTAGCATCCAAGCAAAAGCAACAAGATGAGTCCAAAACCTGCGTCCTCGGCTGCCACCACTGCCATTGTGCATTACTTCTTCCGTGGGTCCTGGTGACCCCCGTGTCGGGCCCAGTTGACTGCCCTCCAAAGTCAATACGCTTCCCTGAAAGAAGCGGGCGTCCAATTGGTGGCAATTACTGCCGAACCTGGTGGTTCCGACGCCGTTCGCCAACGCCTATTGGAACGGGAAGTCTCTAAATTGGACTACGAGATCCGATCTGACCCTGAACATTCCTTCTTGACTAGTGGACCACCAACTCCACCAAAGGACCTTTTCATCATGAAGGATCACCAGTGGGAAGTCTCAGGAGACTACAAGATGGTCCAACCAGCTCTTGTTGTTTACGATGCGGACAAGGAGGTCATTTCCGAAACTACCTGGAGCTGGAAGACCATGGGGTTGGATGACAACAACACCAATTGGGACAGTCGTGTTGATACCCAAGCTTGGGAAGGAGAAGCGGACAAAAAGGTTTTGTTGGTCACTATGAGACCTGTCATGTCTGATTTGTTGGCAGCCATTCAAGAGAAGCGTGCTGTCAAGTTGGCTTCCACCCACAAGCAGTGGTAATCGGAACTGGAGATAGATTAGTAGAAGCAAGAAGAAAGATCCTTGTTGCGAAGAAGCATCGAAAGGTAGATAGCTACTTGCGAATGACGCGACGGTGGCTGTGCTTAGTGCAATAACCCAAGTCGCTGAAAGCGAGTTCTCCTTCGATGTAGTCTGAGTCGACTGGTTTTGCACCGATTGCTACAATTTCTAAGCTTGTATTGACGTCTAGATATTATGAAAACTTTGTAGTTTGTGCTTTGTACTGCTATTCTACACTGCAAATTACATGTCAACCTTGATAAGAAATACTGTTCAGCTGAGCGATGGGAATGGGATTGAAACAAATGAAATCCAAGTCACTACAGAAAAAAACAAGGTACAGATACATCCCTCTCCCATCGAGTGATTCTATGCAGGTTATGATACATGAAAAAGTATTAGTTTATTTGCTTTTACTCAGGCCTTTGCGACAGTGTCATGATCATAAGTCATTTTCGAGAAGTGATCTGCTAGCCCTTCCCATGTCATCCAACTCCTTAATCTTGAATCTTCATGGGAAATTTTGGAGTCAGGTGCAAATCCAACGCAGGTGTCCATACTCCTTGGATACTGGGAGTCTGGGAGTACACGGGCTGGGTGAATCTCTTGGCTTTTCGTCCACTACGGTTATATAATTGATTCAATACTTCTTCAATATCTGGTGATTTGGCATCGTTGCTTTTGACACAAATTTGATGAATATTATCGTTGACAGATGTCAAATAGTCGGCCTTGACGAATGGGTGCTTGCCATTACGGACTCGGACATTGATTTTCAAGTGGGGGCGTTCGCGAGCCCAATCAATCAATTTGCCAGATGCCAGAAAATCTCGGACGGCCTTGGAAGAACCGCCGTGTTCACAGTAGAATAATGACAATTTTTGTAGCTGAAAGACACCTCGAGTAGCCATTGTGTGTATATATGTCTACGTATAGGTAGAGTCTCGACTTATGGAATGGTTGAGTACCTGGTATGATGTGTTGCTCGTTGTGTTGTCGTGGTCATCATGTGGTTGATGATGTTGCGGTGTTGAAATGGTCCGTCCTGCTGTCTGACATTTTTCAGTCTGATGTGTCAAAACTTTTTGTCCTCTGATTTTATACCGGTAGAGACACAGGTACTTTGTACGCTGTACAGTTTCCAAGAGGCCTAAATATCTGGTATTGGCGAGACTGATGCTTACTTGAACTGTAGAGTCTGAACGAAAGAGGCTCTATCTATATGTAAACTTATTTATATATTATTCTAATTCATTCATCACGAGTTTGTCCTTGAGGAGAAGACAAGTTTCTAAAGTTCACCACTTATCAGCCAATCCCACTGCAACTGTCATGGTCAGACTCAGCAAAATAGGTGATACCGCATATTGCCAAGCGATGACCCGAGCCAGTCCTTGTTTGCTCCCGCTCCCACTCAGTTCTACCATCACCATGACATTATTTGCAGTCGGGGTCAGAAAGACGATCATCGCCACCAAGTAAAAGCTCCCAGCGATGTCATCCGGCAATGTCCAATAGTATTCGCGGAAGAACATGACTGATAAGATGCCAAAAATAGGCATGACAATCATCTTGGCAATCACAATGGCCACTGTAGTGGTCCCGGAAAAGAGCTCAGTCTTGTTGACGGTAGCACTGGATGATCCACTGAGATTAGAGCCCAAAATCATCATGTTGAGGGGAACAGCTGCTTGACCAACTTCGTACAATCCATCAAAAAACCATTCCATTGGAGCATCACCGGTGCGATCTTCCAGGTCGACCAAGATGCCTCTGAGGGCAGGAAACGAAGCGACCAAAATACCGAGCAATGCTCCAATCACAGGAGGTTGCATACACCGCTTGGCAATCTTGGACAAGGTTCCACAAAAATCAACTGGATCTTTTCTTTCGTTTGATTCTCCGGTCGCTATCACTGGAACATGACTTTCTGCTGGAACTAATGGTGACGTTTCGTCAGTGCTGGACGACATCGGCGGAACGAACTTTTCAGTTTGGTTGGCGAGCTGTTTTGAATCGATTGTTTGCAGATTGTGAGAGTTACAATGTTTGCCAATAACCGTACCATCGGCCGTTTGCAGGTTACAAGAGCTACCGTGTTTGCTCAAATCCATGCCAATAGATCCAAAGGATTCGTGTTTGTTCATGGGCAACAACATTTCGGGATCATTATTCGCCTCCTCCTCGCTGGAAGAGCCTGATAAAGCCGTCGACCTGCCCCACTTGTCCAAGGATTCTTGAACACTGATGTACATGGAAGCGTCCACTTCGTTCATTCCTCGACGTTGTAAAGTGTAAGAGCTGGATTCACGCTGATTCAAAACATTTTGCTGCCACTCGAAATCATTTCGCTTGTCATTGTCATTGTTTGTATCTTCAGAAGTTTCGGGTGACAAGAGCCATCCACCAATTCCCCACTGAAGCACTGGGTATAACAGTAAATATACCGTTAGGAATAGGCAGGGATCGATTTTTCCTAAGTCACTTGAATCAGGAAAGTTGGCATGCACGACAGTCAGCAATGTGATGGGTAGACCAGTCGAGTTTCCAAACCCACAAGCGGCCATTACTCCTCGCACTTGAGTTGGTGGAGTCTTGGAAACTTTGGCAGCAAAGTACCCAATAATCAATCCCGATCCGACAACATAGAGTGGCCACCAGAGAAGCATCCAAACATCCCTCAGTGATCGTATGACATCAGGGCATGGTTCAGTGCTCCAATCTTGATTGCAGTATATGATCTTTGTAAAGAAAAGAAGCGGTATCGTCACTTGTTGACTAATGAGCGCTAACGTTCGTTTTCCTTCCGGTTTCAAGAAACCTCTTCGATGCAAATAGATTCCAACAGTCGCCAATGTACAGGCAGTGCCGACAGATCGAAGACTAGCCGAAAACGTGCCAATCCAAGCCGATTCATATCCAATGTCAAAATCCGATGATTCCATTGTTCTGTGTTAGAACTTGTATGAGCTGTGCGTTATCGTACCAGGACCTGCCATTCTTCGATCACTTTCCGTTTCGTTAGTTCGCGTGGTGAAATGACATAGGGGTGAATCTGAAACACAGATTCGATTCAACCATACCAAGATTCGCACGTTTCGATTGATTAGTTCGACTGCTCTTCAGTTTTCTTGGAGACGTTTTGGTTTTCGATGAAACTTGTCACTATAGCAAGAGTTGGCGTGCGTACAGTATACTCCTGAAACTTCCAGATCTTGATCTATACGTACTCACATCTGGTCCGTTACATTTCTTATCTCTCATGCACAGGGAGTCAATGGCAAAACAGGATTGATTTGGAATCTATCATTTCGTCTGAACCTTCATGTCCTCCTGCAGTAAGTTACTTGCAACAAAGCTAGGTCGGCCACTTCCTGCCTCTATTGCCCCTCTATTTTATTTTTGTTGAGAGGTTCCGCTATTGATCAGTATGGATGACAATCAAATCCAAATCACAGAAGCAAAGCTTCATTCCATGAACTTTTGTCCGTTATGAGAGTCTTGTGAGATACTTCATTTCACCAAAATAAATTCTCAGATTCAATTCAACCGCTTCCTTGTCGATGCCCATGATACCACATGATCATCGTACGGCAACAACTGAAGCTGTAGTACTGTCTTCAGAGTCTCTCCCTTTGCGTTGCTCACCAGTGAATCACACAAGCTCAAAATAGAAAAGAAACTGCTTGGTCCAACACAATGGCCAAGAATACAGGCCAATATTGAAACAAGAGAGCTTGTTGCCACGTTTCTAAGAAGGGGTCCGATGATGATGATGAAGATGATGAAGAGTCACCAGCAGCAAAATTGCGTAGTCGGTTTTGATTTTGGGGATTGGTCATCCACTTTCCCAAGCAGTAGCCAACACAGAATCCATACGAGCCGAGGAATACAGCAATCGTCGCCAGCGCTAGATCCGACTTTAAAAACCAAGGAACCACAAATGGTGAATTCCAAAGAGCGACTCCCTTTAACACCCACGACGGTTTCCGTTTCCGAGCACGTTCAAGGACCACATCCAAGGATTCCATCACATCCGACTGGTCGTCGCGTTTGTTTCTTTCGTCATTGCGACGTTCATGATTTTCTGCAACTTTGGGGTTGTTGCGCACCAGGGTCGTGATGGATGCTTTATCGCAATCATCATCATGCCACAAGGAAAAGGAGGAGGATCTCAATGGCAACTTTGGTTGGAAACTATCCGCAATTCGCAAGTTCCACACTGATACTGAGAGAAATAGAGTTGTAATGACTCTTGAATGTAGATTCATTGTTCAGGTCTGGTATTTTTGACTATTGAGGCATGTGTGTGTTTGTTTGTGTAGGTATTCATTATACAGTATATGCGTGTGTCGCAGTGATGGGTGTACCGGTATCCGGTATGCCCGTCGATCATATTGTCGGTACGTGTACACTGTACTGCAACCAGTTTCCCGACTCTCCAATTCTCACTTTCTGTTGTCGGAGGTTCAAATTGTCCGTGTTTGTTTGCTATTGTACCGGTACGTGTACCGGTACTTGTAGACAAAAAGCTCCTCTGCCTTATTTCGATTGATATATTTGCCACCAAGCCGAAGGAATTATGGGATTGACACAGTTCAAGCTTTCACTAATTCTCGATGCTTCATCATACTGGTACAAACAATAGCACCAGGATTTATGAGCGAAATGTCATGGTCTCTGCAGTCGAGGTAGAAGTCCCCTTTCGGGGATCAATCGAGTTTTCTAGAAACTCCAACATGAAACCCAACAACGGCACAGCGACAAACTCAAGCAGTAATACACTGCAACATGTAGTTTCAATCACCAAGATCGACTCGCAGCTCCAAGTCCGACAGCAGAGGATCACCTCCAAAATCCAATCGGGGTCGTTCCAAGTCCAGTCGAAGCCTCGGCACCTTTCAATCGCCAGAAGCCAGTCGTAGTTCCAAGTCGTTGCAAGGGCCACTTTCCGCTCCAGCCCGTTCCAACAAAATCAAGAAACCACAGCGATCAACTCGCAATATGCTTCCAAGTCCAATGGGGGGTTCCACCAACAAAGGCTTGAATGATAGTGGCTTGTTGCTGAACATTCCAGAAGAAATTGACATGGCGGACTTTTCGGAGGTTTCGGAAGGGGACCCTTTTGGATACTCAATCCAATGGAACGACTCGAATATATGGTATAATGTTTCTTTTAGTGGCAACGATAATGATGATCATGACGAACAGAGCGTACAATCTACTAGATCATTAGAGAGTATACAATCGGCTAGATCACGAGTGGACGAAGCCTTTATGCAATACACACGAGTGGAGAGTGCAGCCTTGCAAATTCAGAGAAGCTTTCGAAAGAGAAAGCTCGATCGAGAGCAACTGCAAAAGAATGGAAACGATACCTCGGACAATGATTCGGATTCTGAGTTGAAGGAGAAGGAAGTTCAAGAGGAGGAGGAGGAGGACAGCAGATCGTACACGCTCCTTTTATTGGCACTCTTCGCATTGGTTCCAATGATTATGAGCTGCGTAGCATTTTTTTCAAAGCGCTCGTGGCAAAGCAATGACACTCCGGATGCCATGCCAATGGATGGCGCCGCCAATGGGGCCACTGGAGGTGCACCAGCTCCTGGTGGGAATGGGGGCGGAGGTGGTGGGGGTGCTGCACCTCCACCGGGACTGGAAGCCATGGCTGGACAAGCAGCTGGGGCCGCAAGTTGTTCTGCTGGTGCTGGAGCATCTGCAGGTAAGTTTGGGGTGTGTTAAACTGCTGTCTATATCGGGCCAGCATTATCATGAAAGCAGCACAGATTCTCATCAAACTCTCTTTTCGTCTCACTCACTGAATAGGAGTTGCTGCGGGGGCTGCTGCCACTTCCGCCGCGGCCACTGCCACGGCAGCTGCTGGGGCTACCGCAGCAGGAGCAACAACAGAAGTGGTGGCTGTCGTGGCTGTTACTTCTGGTATGTACTGTAATTCGTTCTTCGATAGGTTTGCGCTTTCCTTTGTGTTTTCTAACCGAACTGCATCTACTATTTGTCTTGTCAAGCTGTGGCAACCGCTGCTGGAACAGCGGGTATCTTGACGCCTGCGACACCTGCCGAAGTAATTCTTACCAAATGCGGTCTGAGGAATCCCCAATCACGAATCGGCAAATTCACCATGGTATTTGAAGGCTTCCCTCGAGCGCTGGATGGAAGAGAAACCAACATTTTAGAAGGATTGGTATTGAATGCCTACAACGACCTTACTATTGGAACTAACTTCACCGAGACAGGAAGCTGTTTGGATCCACTGAAAAGAGAAATGATAGAAGTCAATATTCTGGATCAAGATTTTGCCCTTTTGATTGAAGGATTAGATGGGAAGTCTTATTTGGAGATTTGGTTTGAAACCAAGATTGTCTGCGACAAGTGCATGGTATCTCGTCCATTGTTCAAGAGCAAGACGAAAAATTGTCGGAGGAGTTCCCTAAAAAGTTCCCTTTTCTTTCGAGATTCCCCGTGTGAAAACGTTACCGAGGGATCATAAATTAGCGCGTGTTTGACAACATCTAGTCTGGTTCCGCGGTTTCGATTTCCATAAATGCCCGAATTTGCAACATGGTCCTAGGTTTTCTAAACGAACGAGCTATTTTTTAATAACTTCACGACCAGATGATTACGGCGAAAGGCCCATGAGCGTTTTCAAATGAAGGCTACCGTGCTATTGCACACGCATGCAATGGTTCGTGTCCGTAAGTGAACGGGATCGGCCTTCGCGGAAGCCTGTCGATGAAACGACGATAGCAACACTCTTTTTAAGAATACGATTTGTTCTACATTACTATCTTTAACATCTACTACTTCGTAAGTCAACACCCTCGTAATAACATAACGATTACATTTATATGGTTTATCAGACCCAGCAATAACTGCCAAAAGTTATCCGACAAACAAAACGAAAATGAATGTGTATTGAAATGTATTGAAACGTATTGAAATGTATTGAAATGTATTGAAATGTATCGAAATACAATGCCATCAAACGTTATGAACGTAATAATGAACATAATCGTAAGTGCGAAATGACATCAAATGTTATGAACATTATGATGAACGGTGCTGAGCAACACAAACGAAAACTGTCACGAATGATGGTGCTCAGCAACACCAACAAAAACTGCCACGAATGGTGCTGAGCAACACCAACGAAAACTGCCACAAATGGTGCTGAGCAACACCAACGAAAACTGCCACGAATGGTGCTGAACAACACCAACAAAAACTGTTACGAATCATGCTGAACAACACCAATGAAAACTGTTTCGAATAAAAGAAATGTGAACTAACAATTTGATGTATGACATTGATACAGCAACATGGCCGCCGTTCCTCCTTTCTTCACTGTACACGACAACATGGTCATCTGTGGCATTGACAATGTCACCCTTTTCCAAGGATGCACACAAGCCGAGAGAATTGCTTACGAAATATTCTCGGACGATTTCACCACAACGATGGACAGCACCATTGACGAACTAAACGAAGAGTTCAAGACCCTCGCAGGATTGATGATTGCGCAAGGACAGATACACTTGATGCCAGCTATCAAAAAGAACATCCGCGCATTCATCCAATGGTGGTGCAGAGAC